GCACTTTGTTGTTCTGGAAGCAAACTGGTGCCATGTGATGCACAGATGAGCTCTCACTCCTGACCTGGTGCTCAGCAGCAGATGACACAATCTCGTGCAATTGTGCAAGAGTGTGGAGGAGCAGGAACTGGCCCATGCATCAGGGCAGGCAACTTTAGGGCTTCTCTGCTTCCCTGTGTGCTGGAAGGAGTGGGTGAACCCATGTCTCTCTTGGGACATTTCTTTGTGATTTGTCTAAGCAGGTTCAGGAGTTGAGGCGATGTCTGGTGCTGCGCCTGTGCAGTGATTTGTTTCCATCCCTTTGCGCTGCTTAACATCAAATTTACTTCCAGGCATCTTTAGAAAGATGCCTAGCGAAGCAATGAGGGAGTCCTGTGAGGAGATGGAAGGAGACTTGTGCTGGAGTTCTATCTTAAAGGCAGATACTGAAGGGGAAAAGGTCTCTTACCTCCATAATGAACCCCTGATGAACATTGTTGGTGCATCTGGGAAGGGAGCTGGGAGCAAAGTGCTGCAGTGAGCCTGCGCTGGTGGTGCCCAGAAAGAACTGAACAATGAGTAGGGTCCAGTACTGCTCCAAAAGACCCTCGGAAGAGTGCCAGGGCTGCTTTTTTTTTTTTTTTTTTTTTTTTTCTCTCCTTCTTCCCGTTCTATTTTGTATTTTTGAAGGATTTCAGGAACCCTTGTAAGCACTGATATCCGCACTGGGATCCCCTTGCAGAGGACGTTGGGTGGCAGGCAGCTTGCATGGCACAGCCCAGCCTGCGGGGTGGCAGCTCTCCTGCAGAGCCCCACGCTCTGGTTTGCATTATGGGTGAAGCTCTTAGCACATTGCTGCTCATTTCTGCTTTGTTTCTGTCAAAGAATGGACGTAAGGCTGCCCAGCAATATGAGGACTTTTTAAAAAAAAATTTTAAATAGAACACAATTTTTTTTTGGTTAGTTAACACACGCCTGGCCCTTATCAGGCTGCTGCTCTGCATCCTCTGTCTGAGCCCTCTACTGCGGATTTGCTGCCTTCAGCTGCGGCTGCAGGATGTAGTTCCATCTGAAGCACATTATTAGCAAAGGTTGTTAATTAGCATTCCAACAGATCTCATAGAAGGAACGGCCACAAGGGATCTGTCTGGACTCAGCCATCGCCTGCAGAGGTGTTGTTGGTAACCCTTCCCATGGGCTCCTCACATGTGTGTAAGTGCTGCTGCTTGGAAGGGCCAATGATTCCTGGAGCGGTGGCGGTGGTGGATGGAGCAGAAAGAGGCTCAGCAGCACTCTGTGATCCCAGGCCCTTGGTAATAGTGCTAAAATACTGCTGTGCCCTTTTGTTCTGACAATTTTCTCCTTCTCAAATGTAAGATTTTACTATTCTTCTAAACCACAGAGACAGAGATTGAAGGCAGTCCTTTGAATCCATGAAAATTTGACTGCAGGGTTCCTTCCGACCTCCATGCTAATTTTTAGCAGAGCAGGAAACATTAAAAATAACCATGAGAGAAGATTTCCCAACTCGGAAGGGTTGGCCTTTTAGTAATCTCTGGCTTTGTTTTCACTCGATATTTTGCCCCTAACATTCCTGCAGTATTGCTGAAGCAAACCCATCCCCAACAGCATCAGTGATGGAGGAGGAAGGCAGGAGGTCAGCCTGGCTGGCACCCAGCCTCACCCTGAGCAGAGTAGGGGATGTGCAGGGGAAATGTTCATTATTTAATCCACGAGTGTTTGCTTTTGGGATCAGAGCTTGTAAGCTTGACGTGTTTTCTAATTGTTCCTAAGCCTTTGGTGGCTCTCAGCACTGAGTGAATCAGCTGTCACTGCAAAAGTGAGGTATTTTGGTGCTGTGTCTTGACCCTCCTAAGTTTCTACTGTGAAACAAACATCAAAAATACGTTCTTTAAAACTGTGACAGGGCACTAAAGCTGAAATGTGTGACCAAATCAAGGCAGACAGTGAGAGTGCATGAAGCAGTAGCAAACTGCACTCGTGCTCCGGCATCTCACCTGGCACAGGTCTGTGCTCTCAGCAAGCACATAAATCATGTCTTTGTGTGATGGGTGTTACTGTCTGGGAGTGCAACTGCAGTACCTCTCACCTCTGCTCCTGCTGACCATCTCCTCGCCTCCCATGCTCCAGCCTGGCTCTGGCCAGATGTTGCCGATGTGTTTTCTTTATCAATCTGACAGGAACATTTCCTCCTTTCCCTTCAAATGTTGATGATGTCCTGCAGAGCTATGCTGACCTAGTGCTGAATGCAGGTGGTCCTTACTGGTCTGTGATCAGAAAATGAGATCTGAGTTACTTACCAGCAATCAGTGGCTCCAGTGTTCACTCAGTGGCTGTGCCGGTGCCCAGCTGGGACCACACCAGTGCTGGCTTGCTCAAATTGCTTGGAATTGATGGGTTTTGTCCCACTTTGTCACTGCACTGATGGTTTTGGTCAGATCCACGTTTGAAGAAAAGCTGATGACATTTTTTCTCTACTCAGTCTCAAAGCATCAGGCTTGTTGTAGACAAAATTGTTCATCGTCTCTCAACTTTGTGAGTGTTGAATTATGTAAAGTGTTTTCACTGTGTGATTAGGAGCAGAAGGCTTGTAGTAGAGCATGGGCAAGGACAGGAGTGAAACTTATCCCTGGCAAAAATCGCAGCATAACTCTGCAAGCTTCCTATTGCTTTGGCTCTGTTGTGGGGTGTACGGAACGCTCGCCCTTCTTTTAAGCTCTTTGTTGGTTATTTAAGTGTGGTTTTTGTCCCCTCCAAAATGAAAACTTCTCTAGAGTTCGTTTTTGATTGGAACAGGGAGTTGTTTTTCTGTTCCTTAGTTATCAACTAAACTAAACATTGCTTCATCTTTAATTAAAATGACATGGACCAGAATTCAAGGAAGGGAGAATCATGATCTCAACACTTGGGCGCTTCTGAATGTTGCAGGCTCTCCATGGAGCACACCCACACCTCCAGTGTGGTCTCTTCCTTTACCCCAGCAGCTCCATGACTGCTCGGGGCCTTCTGCCATGGGCTGCTGGCCGGGCAGGTTGGGCTCAGCCCATCAGACCTCAGCCTGAACTGATGAGCGTTTACGAGCCTGACTTACGGCGTTGTCTGCTCAGCGGAGCGGCTGGCCCAGAGCCCCTTTGAAAGCCCAATGGATATTGTTTCTCTTGAGCATTAAATGCTTTCCCTCAAACAAACATTCTTTGAATAGGCTATTGTTTTTCCTTCTGGATGTCCCTTTGTGGACTGATACAAGAATAGCTAGAACCTGATGAATTGCTGTTATAAATTTCTTTTATTTTTTAAATCCGTGGGACTTCTGTTTCGTTGAGAACTTGGATGTGCTGTGAGTTCCCTGCTCAGGTCCCATGTTTTTCCTCTGGAGGTCCCCAGTAGCTGCATTGGGAGATTCAGGTCAAACAACTCCAGCAATTGTATCTTCAGGAGGGAAATTTGGCAGACCTGACACCTTTCCCAATCACTCTGATGTAAAGAAGTGTGGTGAACTAAAGTGCAGAGTGATATCTGTCAGGGAAGGAGTAGTTTGGCTGTGGTACACAAGCCTGTATCAGTGGATGCTGCTAAGTTCGCTCGTATCTTTCATCAACACTTTTGTGTATTGACATTTATATGCTGGTAGTTCCTCATAAATAACATACAGTACGTAGATAATCAGGGCTTGGTAGCTTCCAAAAACTCAGGTGTGCAGGGATGCCTGTTGTTTTCAGGTGAATATCCTTGGCACTGCTCCCCCACCCCTCTGGGTTTGCCTCTCATCCAACAGAGCCATGCAGACCTGGGGTTTAACACTCCAAGCCTGGCAGTACTGCTGCTGCAGGCTGATTTATTCCTTACTCACAGCTGGAACTGGGAGACGGGCACATTATTTTTAATGCAGACTTTAGTTCTCTTACAAATATCTCTCTTTTTTTTTTTTTTTCTTCTGTTTTTTTCTTTTTAATCTCCATTTCAGCATCATAGATTTAAACTAAACTCAGAAAAAGTTCACCCTGAACAGTTCCCTAATACAGAAAACTTTGACTCTTTATTGTTGTGTTATGCAACCATCTAGAGGGTGTGTGCTTCAGTAGGTCCTCCAGGCTGCAAAGCCAAAGATGCTTTGGGGACATCTGGCACAGCCCTGGGTTCTGCCTGGAGCCCTTGTCAGCCTGGGCTGGGGGGTCTGTGGTGCAAGAAGGAGCCTGAGCACTTTGTGGACTTGCAGCCATCGTGTCTTATTTCTTTGGGAAACATTTCCAGGCTGAGTTGTCTATGTGAGGAGAGGCTTTATGAGCCTAGGCTGCAGGTAGAGGAGAGGGAAAATGCAGTTCTCCTCGGATTTACTGTTAAATGTAAATAGCTGCACACATTGATCAACCACATGCTCCTGCAGCAGTGCTAGGAAAGGGAGAGGTGGGTTGGTAGCCCAGCGCTTGGTCCTGCAAATACAGCTGTATTTCCGGTGGAGTGCTGCTGCTGATGGGACAAGCACATAAGATCTGTGGGATGGATGTACTCTTCCTTCCTCACCAGTGAGACACCTGGCCCCATCCATGAGGCTTCCCACTGTGATCTGGGGGGGATGGGTGCTCCCCACAGAGTACAGCAGAGCTTTAGCATGTCCTTTGGAGAAAGCAGAACACCGCATCCTGCTCCAAGCCTGTGGTGAATCGCTCCTGGGACCCCATCAGTTTAACCAAAGCAGTTCTTAGTCCTTAAAAACCTGAGGTAGTCCTGAGTGCTGTGCCAGAGCCGTGTGCCCCTGTCACTAACCCTGTCGCTTCCTTCCTCACCTCTTTGTGCTCTGCAAGTTGTCACCTCTCGCTCAGCTGCTGTGAAACCTTCTTGCTGGATCGCATGCATGAAGGATAAGGTGTATAAGTAACATAGCCAAGGATTGTACAGTATGCGAGTAGAGTCTCTCTCAGAGCATGACTGATACTGCTGTGTTTGTAAATTGTTGGAGTATTTTATTCTTTAATCATATTGTTTCTTCCATCCCTTTTCAGGGTCCCCTTGGTTTGGATGGCAAACCAGTAAGTAGCAGCACCTGCTGAACGTGTCATCTCTTTCTTCACACTGCTGTGCCATGTCTAGGCAGAATCCCAAATGCAACCTGAATCCAGATATTTTCTGTGTGTACAATTGTTTATGGGGCAGATTGCATTTAGAATAATTACACTGTGATCAGTAACACGTGCAAGTTTAAGCTCTGGGCCTGAGTTTTCTTTCTTTTTTTCTCAGAAGCCCTGTGGACACTCAGTGCTCTATGCTTCTCTTGCTAATTTTTACAGTCACACATGCACTGATGGTGTTGGCTGAGCACCGGTCAGTGCTGAGTCTTTTCACTGGAAAACTGCTGCCGGCGTGGCTGCTTCTGGTTTTTGTTTCCCAGTCTCAGTTTGTTCCACGTTCACTAGAGGGCACCATCTGAAATCTTTTCAAGCTTTGGTCCTCGACCAAGTGATTTTTTTTTTTTTTTTTCTAAAGTCGCTCAGTCTTTGTCTGGAATAACTTCTTGACTACCCTAATTTCTAGCCAGCTAGAGAATATTTTGTTATAGCTTTATGTTGTATGTTTTTTCATAGCTGTGGTTGGATTTTTTTTGCTTTTTTTTTATATTGTCTTTGAATTAGCAAAACACCATAATTAAAAGAGTGATGCAAACCTCAGCGCTGCACTCCTTCACCAACAGGGATGCGAGTGGCTGAAGGGGAGGAGGGAGACCTCTGGATGAGCAGCAGGGAGAGCCTGAATGAAAAAGAAAACTTAAGAGTGGCCAAACTCAAACCAGACTGCTCACGATCTCTTCCATAAGAGTGAGCGGCCAGCAGGTTTGCTCAGAGCCAAGCTACCAGCAGGAGGGATGCAGCGCGAGGCTGCAGATGCTCCAGCATCACTGCTGACCTCCTGCCTCCTTCCGTGCCACACTGCTTCCACGCCGTGTGCTGGACTGAGCAAATGATGCTTGATGGTCTTGTGCTTGAAGGATGTAGAGCAGCACATCAAAGCTCTGCGGCTTCTCTTTGGGGCTGCAGTGTGTCTCTGGCTGTATGTCTTACAGAAAGCTGTTTAGAAGGAATATGACTTATGTCTTCAGCGAATAGGCCAAAGAAAGCAGCCCATCCTCCTTGTTTATTTCAAACAGATGTATAATTGTTGTAATGATATGCTGAGCATGTGTTTTTCTAGAAGTGATTTAATACTTCGAGAAATGTCTTGTGTCTATTCGGCATCATCTGCCCCCGAGTGGCTGTCACGCTGCCCAGCCCTTCTCCACTCCTGTGCGCCTGCATAGCAGGCAGACCCCCTTGCTGCTTCCCAGCAGTGTGCTGTTTGTGTCCAGCAACAAACTGCTTAAAGCAATAGTTACATGCCTCAGGTTTGTGAACTGGTGAAAGCAATCGGCTTGGTTTTGATGTTGGGGTAAGAGTGTATGCATTGATACCACTGTTTCTGATTTGTTGTCCTTATGTTTTTTCAGGGGCCTCCAGGACCAAAAGGGGAAAAGGTAAAGACTATATTAGCATGCAGTTAATCAGAAACCGCTGCATGTCCTTGTTTTGCTGTGATTCTTTCTGTTCACTTTGCCCATGCACGTCCCATACAGCATGGCATCGCCACTTGGTTTGGTTCAGCCATAGAGCTGTGTCAGCACAGGAGCTGAAAGGCTGCGGGCTCCATCTCTCTGTTTGCCTGACATCCTCCTGTGAAATTCGAGCAGCCAGGGAATGTCATTACTGTACAGAAAGTGATGTTAGTCCATGCATATGTAGGACATAAGCATTTGCTAGCGGAGCCTTAAAGTTGGAAACAGTCCGTTGTTTCAGATTTATTATGTTTCATCGCCTGCCAGGGCAGAACCATTCCCTATTGTGTTGTCTCCAAGACTTCTCCTCCCTGGTTTTGAATACGTTAAGCAATAGGACCCTTCCCACTTCCCCTGTGTGCTGTTCCCTCGTCCAGCTGACCCCGCGCTCGGTTCCTCGCGTTTGAAATCTGACCTCTAACAGCTGACCTTTGCTGTTCCTCCTGACGCACAGGGTGAAGCAGGGGACATCGGCCCGAGGGTGAGTAGTGACACAGTGTGTTGTTTCACTCCCAATTCTGGTTGGGTTTGGTCACTGTGCAAAGCGTGCAACTCTGTCCACGCGGCGGTTCTGGAAACGCTTTGTTTTGCTGTTGGAGCTCTTCACGTTGTTTCAGTCTAACCATGAGAATGGGGAAAGGAGCTGAAGATCTTTATGGGCCTCATTAAGAGTTTCACGTGCCTTCCTATCCCTCATTCCTTCTTTCCATGTCAGAGATGTTCTCCTCTCAAAGCTGTGCTCCTTGTCTGTTGACATCAAAGTACCAGTACATGATGGAAGTCATAGCTCCCAAGGCAAGGTGCTGTGTTGGGTGGGGTGGAGATCTGTCCCCTCTTGCTGGGAAGAGGGTGATGTGCAGGCAATGCCTAGGCTGCCTGTGATTGAGAATGAAGGCTGTTAAAAGGTGAGGGGGAAATTGTTCTGTCTATAACGTAGATGGAGTTTTCTGCAGAGGGCAGTGGTTAATGTTGGCCAGAGATGCCTCGGGGCCATCTTTCCTTTTTCTGCTTGAGGCTTTTAAGTGCTTTTTGGTGTCATTTTTTTTCCCAAAGCAGCTCCATGGGTGTGTCTGGAAACGTCACCCCTGGGCTTGAAGAGCCCCAAAAATTCCCCAGCCAGATTTATTCCTGTACAGCTGTGGAGGGGTTCAGTGTAAGATCTCAGCCTTGTTCTGAGTACCCACCCCCAAAACAGGCTTTCGAAGACAATTCAGCTGCACATGGCTGTGAGTCTTTGCTCCCTGGCTGGGGCTGTAGGTTATTTCTGTTGGGGAGGGTAGGTATGGGGTCGGTAATTTGCTTGGTGCTGGAGGTGCTCACCAGGCTTTGGAGCTGTCAGGTAAGCAGGGGGCCTGACTGCTGCCTGCAGCCCCCATCCTGCTGCAGAGCAGTGGGCAGAGGCCTGGGCTGGACTTGCAGACATAGACTTGCACCAGCTTTCACAGCAGTGTTTGTCTAATATTTTAATCTACCAATAATTAAGTGCTTATTTTCCCATGGTTGATCTTTGTCCAGATTTTATTTTATTCTTGTGTCATCTTGTTCTTATTTATGCGTATTTTATATGCATATATATTCACATATATATTACACAAGAATAAGAAAAAGGCTGGACCAAGTAGGTCTACCAACCAGTGCCTGGCTGTGAAAATCATGCGGTTCTATCTCCAGCTTTCAGGGCTGGGTTGGATATGAAACTTATTGATACCATCTGGCCCAGATTATTTTTTATTTCGTAGTTTAATCTATCTTCTTCCTTGAGTTTCGGTGGTAGCTTTGTTGAGCTGATTTTGAAAGATGTCACAGCAAGTCATCACATCAACGGGAAGATAAATAACTCTGGCTGTATCCAGCACTGTGTGCTCACAAATGTGTCTATGGGAGGTGGGGCTGGGACAGTGTGTGTCACTGAACACAAGCATGTTATCCCCAGGAATGGCAGATTAAAAGAAAATAGCACTTGGGTTGGTTTTGGAGGGACTGCACGCGATAGAGGTGAGATGAGGATATTGGGGAACAGCTACTGGACGTGTTGGTGTCTGCTGTTGTATCTGTCCCTAATTAATACCTGCCAGCAGCATGGATACGTGGTTATTACACACAGGAGTATGGCTCGTGTCAATACTGGGGGTAAGTTTTGGAGGCAGCAGTTTCTGTTGGGCTGTCCCAGGCAAAACCCAATGGCAAAACTGAGCATTTGAGGGCCTGCAAAGGGTGCTGTGGGACTGTGCCTAACCAGGCAGGGAACAAACATACCCAGCACTGGTGCAATGCCCCTGGGTGCACTGATGGGGAGAAAGTAAGAGCACACGTCCTCTCTGTTCTGGGGAGGAAAGAAGGAGCCAAAGCAGGATGCTGTCAGAGCTGGGACCTCTGTGCCCTGCAATTCATGCTGGTTTCTCTCTTAAACACTTCCTTACACCTCTAAACAGCTTCATAATCCAGGACGGCCGCTCTGGATTTATTACCCTGGCTTAGTTGATCCTGTTCTCACTGGCAATGCAGACGTTTGGACAAATGATGGGATTTGATGAACTTTGCACATCTGGGTTGTGCATGTGACAGTGGTGCCAGATTGGCTCTGAAGGAGAGAAGAGGGGCTTCAACACAAGCTTGTCCTCACGTGTCTTAAAGAATCCCAATATAACTTCTGACAGGCACCACGGGTGGGAGTCACTGGAGGAGGTCAGGTGAAGGAAGAGCAAGGATTGTGAGCTTTGCCAAAATGTCTCAGGCATTTTACTGCTGAGATGAGGCAGCTTGGGGACAACGGCAGTGCAGCATCACCAGCTTTTATCTGGTGTCCAGGTGCCTGGCAAAGGTGACCTGAGGCTGTTGGCTCTCTAGCTTTGCTTCCCAGTGCCTCTGCCTCGTGTTGCAGAGAAAAGGGCCCATGCTCCATAGCCCATGAGGTGCTCTCCTGCTTAATGACCAGGGACTGTCCCAGCAGCATCAGCTTCTGAGCTGTTGTGGAGTTAAACCTAATACAGCTGAACAGCTGTGGGCTCAGCAAGTGAAAAGGGGCTTTTTCGCTCTTTATGCAAAAAGAAAGATGCTTGCTGAGCTCAAATTGCAGGTTAAGAGCTCAGCATGTGGAGTGTCCTGCAGGGCTCACCGTGACAGCCATTGTGGAAATGTACAGATCTTTATAGTATTTACTTATTTTGAATCATGATGTTGAAATAGCTAAATCGCATACTCTGAAGCTGACAAATGTCAGTGTTCATGGTTTCTTTTCTCTGAGGCTGCATTGCTGCGCAAGGTCAGATCCAACAGCCCAAATGCCTCAGGGCCAGTGCAGTTTGGGGCAGCTCTGGCTTACTGTGTGCTCCCCTGGCACCCGCCTCTCTGTAGTCCAGATGTTTGCAGAACCAGAGATGACATCTCTGCATTTCATGGCCCTAGGGGCAATCACCATCCTTAGCAGGGATCATTTAAAATAAAATGTGCAAGGGCTCTGTGACACCATTACTGTGGATGTGTTTCATCTCTGTTTTACCCTTTAGGATTTGGACATTATTCCTTTCCAGAATGGCTGTATTTGAGTGAGGGCTGAGCTAAAGCCTCTCTGCAGAGTGAAAATCCTCTTTCCTGGAGGACGTGCTGCTTGCTTGGTCTCTCCTCTTGCAGTCTTCTGATGGATGAACCCTGGGCTGGATGGTAGAAAAGGGAGCAAGCAAAAACAGCCTGAGAAAGGAAACCTACTGCTTCTCTCTAGATAAGTGGGAAGGCTGAAAGACAATAGCAATGACTACTGACATGGTCTGAATACATTGTTTTTGCATCATATAAATCTGAGAGATTTATCAGCGTTTTGCAGGCTGGTGAATACATCAGTATTCATTTTAGCCTGAAAAAAAAAGATAATATTTGGTCTCGGGAGAAATGCTGGGATAAATCCCATGTGGTTTTTACTGGAAAATGCTCTGCATTCTGAAGAAGAGTCCTGCAGTAGAGAATCGTCCATACCCAGCAGCCCTGAATGTCCTATTGTGCAGTAAGCTCATGAAAGGAGATTTGTTTTGCTGTGTCTACTTACTGATAGTGCATCCAGAATGTTAAAGCCCCCGGTTGTCTATCTAGACCTACTCCTCTTATATCAATTAATTATTGAAAAGAAGTTGTTGTGCATTTTATGGCCTTTCAAACTCGCTCTGTGCTGTGCTTGCATCCTAAATTCTTGCTCTTTCCTCTTCCTCTTCCCCCTGCACTGTGCTAGATGGTTTTCCCTCGCCTCAATCACGGATTTCTGGCTAACGATCAGCTGGTCTTTAGCCGCCGGGTGCTCAAGGTAGACGTATCAAATCTGCTGCCTCTGGTTTGCTGTGTTTGTTTGAGCTGCTTTTGTTCCCTCGTTCTGGCTGATGGCGCACTGGTGCTGTTTGGAATTGTCAGTGGCATGGAGCACTCAGAGGTGCCTGCAAGGAGCAGCTGGGGTGAGCCCTGTCAGAATTCAGGGGGAGTTTTGGCAAAGCAAGGAGACATAAAAGTGATGGTGTTTCAGCATTTGGTCCTTTATGGGAAGCGGGGATCATGCAGCAAACCCTATAAATGTTCATAGAGCGTATGGGCAATGCTGGTATCGAAGTAAAGTGCACTAAAATGCCACTGCCTAAATCCCCGTGCTCTAAATGTGACTTTTTAATTAGGCAAAATTCAGTGGGAGACTCTTGTCAGCATTGGATGCAGCGTTCAGGATTAGCAGATAGGATCTTTGAAAATCACGCGAGTGATTTAGGAGTGCAGATCTCGTTGAAAGGCAGCGGGGTTCGTGCTGCTGAGTCACTTAAGGACTTCTGAAAATCCCACACTTGTCTGTGATTTGAGGGTGGACCACATATTAAATACAGTCCTGTTGGTGCCTCGCTGGTAACCCATCCAGATGTTGCTAAAAGATTTATGGCACAGCCTTTCCATGAGGATTTCCATTGTGTAGCCACATGTCGGAACCACGGTGGCCGGCGGCGGGTTGCAGCGCTCCCCTTGCACAGCATGCACCAAACCTTTGCAATCACAAGGAGAGGCAGTGGCTGCTTTCGTCCCTTGCATCCCAGTAGGATGTCAGCTGAGCTGGATGTTAATATAGGACTTTGGCTGTATTTAAAGTTTACTACTAAGAACTGTTTGTTTTTTTTTTTTTGGGGGGGGGGGCGGGGGGGAGTTTGTTTTTTGTGTGGTCTGCTAAGGTCTGGACTTGTGTGCATGCTCCACGCCAGCATGTTGTTGGGTTTCATTTATTTCTGGGTATGTTGAATTGGTGGATTCTGTGCAGATGGTCACTGGGGAAAGGCTTAATGAGATGAAACCACGTTGGAAGGCATTGAGCAAAATTCCATTTGAGGAACTAGACTCAAAGGTCTTGGAGCAACTCTGAGCTTGCTCTTAGCCTTCCCAATTGGCTGCTGCAATTAACCCCTCTGGGATCATAGAATCATAGAATTGCTCAGGTTGGAAAAGACCTCACAGATCATCGAGTCCAACCACAACCCAACCATACTATCCTCATTCTAACATGGCAGAGATCAAGTTGCCCATGGCCTGGGGATGCAATGCATGTGTTGTGGGCACCCTCTGGTCAATACCAAGCTGCTGTGCTTGCCCGTGCTGCTTCATCTCACCATGTCTGTGTGAACTTCTTCCAGGGTGATCAAGGTCGAGATGGAGCCACTGGCCCCCCTGGTCCACCAGGACCCCCAGGTGCCCGGGGGCCTCCTGGTGACACAGGAAAGGATGGCCCAAGAGGACCTCAAGGCCCCCCTGTAAGGACCAGAGATGTGCAGTGGGCACATGCTGTGTGGTCCCCAGTCTAGTGAGGGAGAGGAGAATTAAGAGCATCCCCTTCCCCATCCCAAGTGCTGTGTCCCCAGTGCTGGTGGCTGCTTGCATTGCAGAGCCTTGGGTCTCGGAGTGAGGAAGCAGAGGGAGGTTTCCATCTTCAGCTCTGGAGAAAAGAGCTGGACCCGGAGCGTGTGTTTGTGGCCACCAGCTGTAATGCAGAAAGCCCAAGGGGGATCCCCTCAGTGATCTGTAGGCATCAGAAGACCTGTTGCAAATCTCCAGATCACTGGCAATACATTTAATAAAGAAATAAGCTGAAACACAGTGCTGTTGGATGGCCTGATCACTGAGTATTGAGAATGAGGAATGAATGACAGGTACTTCCAGGTCTTGTTTCTTTTGTTTCTTTTTTTTTTTTGTAGGGCCTTAAAGGCGAGCCAGGGGACGACGGCCTTGTGGTTAGTATTGCACAAAGGTGTTCCTATTGCACTGCCCAGGACATCCCTCGCTCTGTGTGCTGCTTGCTCTGCACTGGGTGCTTTCATGTCTTTGCATATTGATGCCAAAAATTGTAATGCATAGAACGCACGAGTAAAAATATATATGTGTAACTATTTACTAGTTGTTGTTGGGAGCATGGTTCTATTTATAAGGGAGGATGAAAAGCTGGCATCTGCATCATTTTTTTCATGGGGATGAAAATATTCCTGGACGTGTCTGTATTCTGTTTTGCTCTATAAGTATAACAAACTGATTTTTCATTCCATAGGGTGCCAGGGGACCCCCGGGGCCAAAGGTGGGTGATCAGCATTTTAACAAGAATTCTTGACATATTTCTGTAGAAGAGGAGTAGAAATGCACACACACATTTCACGGTGGAGTTGTTCTCATCCGTATTCATCACATACTGAATTTCTGCACTACTGAATTAACCATTGACTTGAAGTTGTCTGAGTGTGCAACCTACACAGAAAGCACAGCCCCGGCCCTTGGTAAAACCTTGAAATGGGGTGGGGTAGGAGCTGTGGGAGTTAGAGGTCAGCGTGCTGTAGGAATGTGCTTTCTTCCATTTTGGGGGCATAGAGTTGACCAACGCAAGCAACAAATTATTTGAACTTGACAATGTATTTCGAGTATTGGTGTAATTGGCCTTATTTTCTTGTTCCCTAATCTTTCTCCTCTGTGTTTATTGCTTTTGAAGGGCGAGACTGGCATGCAAGGAAAGAAGGTAAAACAGTGACTTTGCTTTACTTTGCTGAGTTCTAGTCTAGGGAAACCGCTTCCAGAGGGTGATGGAGAAGTTGCAGTCCTGGCTGCATGTAGCACCCCAGTGCTGTTCCCCAGGGTCCCTCCAGTGTGCTCCACGAAGAGCTGCGACCGCACAACCCCGAAGTGCAGATGCTGCCATGTCAAAGCATGGCTTTCATTACAGCAAACAGGCCAGAAGCTGCAATCACATCTGCCCTGTAGACAAAAAGAATGAAATGCTGGATGCCAAAACAAAGCAGTAGGTCTGAGTCCTTTTGCTCAAATAATTCGAGCTTGACTGAGAAGCTTTTGGAGGATGTTATCTCCCAAAAGGCCCTGTGGTGGGCTCAGTTTCCTGGGAGAGCCCAGGGAGAGGCATGGCCACACACAGTCTCAGTGTGGTCAATTCTCAGGGGCAGGAGAGGAATTTCCCACACTCAGAAGGACAGATGCTCTGTTTGGGTTGGGTGTCAAAGACTGGGAGATGCACGTGTCCAAGTTTTCTGCTGTTGGCCCTATCGAGGAGTGAATAAATCACTGCCTTCATCTAAAACCAAAGTGCTGACAGGGCCCAATCGTTTCCTCTGGTTGTTTTGCCCCATAACAGACGTAGCCATGTGCATTTTTCAGATGACAATTTGTGTAAAGTTTTGGTAACTGCCCAGCAAAATTAACCTCTTAAGCACCTACAAGACAGTATTACTTCAGGAGAAGAACAAAGCATGACACAGGAAACCCAGAAGATCTCCTGGTGTGCTGGTGGTCACAGTGAAGTCAGTGAGGATGAGGGGTAGTTTGCAAGAGGCCTGTAGGAAATTAACAAGGCTCCCCAATACCCTTTGTGGGTCAAATATATAACTCTGTGGCCATGCCCCATACCTGTGAGCAGAGGAGGCCGACACAGAGCTAGATGGGAGCAGAAGACCATGCTGCAGGTTTTTCCTGGCTTCCTGCAAACCCAAGTAGGGCTCGGATCTGTGCTCAGGTCAATGAGGGTGAATGAAGAGTTGAACCCAGATGGCACATGTGTACAGGCCCTCTGTGTTTCACTTGCTATGTTTTGTTTCATCAGGGTGATGATGGCATCCCAGGGGAACCAGGACTTTCGGGCTCTAAGGTGAGTGTCTGCTCTGTGTCTATCTAATGTGTGTGCTTGGCAGCACCTGTTGTTCTCTGGCTTGCTTGTTGGCACTGCGGTGTGGTTGGGACATGCTGAGAAATACAATTCTGCCTGAATATGGGAAAAGAACAAAAAAGAGAAAGATGTGTAACTCATCCCTCTGCCTTGGTCAGAAAGCCTGGAGTTTACAACTTGTTGGCTGTTGCAGAGAATTGCCATGGAGAGCCTCCACTTGCAGAAACAATTCAAACAGCATTGCTGGCGATGGCCTGGGCTTTGGGATGGGGCATTGTACCTAGTGGGCTCTCAGTTGGGAGCCTTTGGACTGTGGTTGTGGAGCCAACATTGTAGATGAGCACACAACCCACAGCCAAACTGCTGAGCCTGTAAAACTCCCCTTAATCTTGAATGTTCCCCATTTTGCACATAGGCAATGTGATACGTTTTAGGCTGAAAACGGAGCTTTCTTCACTTGTGTTCATAAAAGTAACAATAAAGCAAGAAAACTACAACCTGGAAAAATCTGTTCTGCATCCGAACTATATAGCATTCATCTAAATCATCTTGCTTTCAGGGAGAAAAGGGAAGCACTGGTCTGAAGGGAGAGAATGGCACGGATGGTGTGCCAGGACCCAAGGTGAGTGCCAGCCTGCTGGGGAGGCACTGCATTTTGGTTGGGTTGGTGTCATAAGCCTTTACTGTCTAGAAGTCTCATAAAGTGCCAAAAATGAAACAAATAGGAGATTTTTGTGGAGTATTTTACCCTTTTCTGGCAGCTTAATGAAAGCTGGAGATCCAAAAATCATCTCCTGTAATGTTTTTCGTTGAATTGCCTCCTTTTTCCCCAGATAGCTAAATCTCTGATCACGTTTTGACCTTCATGCATTGATTGTTGTGGTATCGCTTCAAAGTGGAGAGTGCTTATGTGCCTTACTGTTCTACTTATCTTCAGAACTGCAAAGGGATGTAGTAAGACAGTCTTGATATGTTAAGTGGTGATGATATAACATGGACAGCATTCATGAGCCTTTATTCCCTCCTCAGCTGCTTCTTATTTAGTCTGATCTATCCCTGGTCTTTCTGTATTGAGCAGCCATGGCTCCTTGCTAGGCTATACAGGATGCAGAAACGTGGGCTTGGATGACCCTCTCACGTTTTTTGTTTTAAAAACAGGGTAGCAGTGCTTGTTTGTTCCGCCTAGGGTCTGCTGAATTGAAATTTTCCTATGAAGACTTCTTGTGTTTGTGTATTTATTATGTGTTACTATGTCAAGGGCTTTAATATGATTCATGAATAGATTTCCATGGGATGGCAGAAGGGGCAGTTCTGAATCCTGAGCTGAACTCCAGGTCACTGCGGTGGGAATCTTAAAGCCATTCATAACTCACAACTTAAAAAATAATAATAAAAAATAACTGGCACAGACTCCTTCCTTAAAGTCGCCCTCAGAAATGGTTTAAACGTGTTGGCTGAGACTTTCCACATGCAATATTCAGCCTGAAGCAAGAAGCTGCAGCACAAGGAGCCAGAGCTTGGCATGGCGGGAGCAGCAGGCAGCACTTGTGCAAATGGGATGGATGCTTTCCTGCTGCCAGCTAGCTCCTCCAACATCTCTCTGTGCAAAATGCATTTGCTTTGAAGTCAGATCTGTTGGGCTTTTTGTTTGTTTTGTTGTTTTTGTTTTGCTGGGTGCAGCGGTTCCTTGTTGGCACCATACTTTTTGCCTTGAATCTGAAATGCATGCTGGCATCTCGTGCCATTTAGCTTAGTTGTAGGATAAATATTCCACATTTTCCTTGGTGTTTCTGAAACAAAAAATATGATCTGCATTTTCAGGGTGAGCCTGGTGAGAAGGGAGGAGTCGGCTCCATCGGACCCCGGGTATGGATGTTCAGGATTTTCCTTTCAGTGTTCACCATGCCCCAAGCTGCCCCACGCCACCTCCTCCTGTTTAGCGTGTTGTCAAATAGTGTAAGGATCAGTTCCGTGTTAGGAAGTACAGATGGTGTGTATTAAAACAATACCAAATACTGCCCGTGGAGACAGCGCTGGGAAATGTAGTAAAGTCTGATTTTTCTTATCAGCGTGACCATCCTGTCGACATTTTTCCTTTGTTGTAAGAAGCTGTCAGTAGGTTTTCTCAGTGATTTTGATGCACCCCTCTGTTACGTACGTTTGTAGGCTTTTGAGGTTTGGATGGATGACAGCTGTCTATCTAGGAGCTCATTACATTGGTGCCTGGTAATTCCCCCCCAGACACTGGGCTGCTGGGTCCCTGCTGTCACACAGCCTGGTTCTCAGGTGCTGCAAAAACTAAACAGGTTTGTCCTCGGTTGCAGGGTCCCCCTGGCCTGAAAGGGGAACAGGGTGACACGGTGGTGATCGACTACGATGGCCGCATCCTGGATGCACTCAAGGTGAGCTGGTTCCTGGGGGTGGCAGGGAGGGGCTGAAGTCCTATGCTATTTCTCCTTCCTGAGGTCTTAGCGCAGAGCCAGCCCAGAGGGCAGGGTTTATTCCACCCTGTGTGTGGCTTTCACTGCAAATTGTCTCTTGTTTGGATGTCCTTGAAGGCAGTGGGAGGATGGGGTGCAATGCCTGGGTGCTAACCTGCCCCAGCGCCTGCCAGGCCTCTCCCTGCTGCTTGTGTTAGGATAAAAGAAGGCGAACAGAATAAATACTTAATTACAGACACATTTGAGAACCATCCTAATTGTTTTATAACAGGCTGCAGGGATACACAAAGTGGTGGTAATTACCATTTGCCAGATGTCTGCACGGGTTGCTCTGACAGGAGCACGGCATGCAGCTCCGTGAGTGGAGGCTGTGGATGGAGCTCCTTCGGGGCGGCCCCAGCAGATGCAGCAGGGTCCATCTGCAGGACGTCCCTGTGTGAGCATGGGGACATGGCTGAGAGCACAGCACACTGCTCGGCCATAGGCGTTGTGCTTGTTGTTGTCTGTTTGCACGCTTACCATATGTGGGAAGAGAGCTTGGAGAAGTGATTGCTTTACGCAGCTTCCAGTGTGATTAACATGGTAGTGTTTGAAGGACAAAAGGTGCGATACGGGGTTGTTTTTCAGCTGGGAGACTGTGAGTTTGCTGTTTGAGATGACTTGCACCTCGCAACGTAAGGTGTTCTGTGCTCTCTGTACCCAGCAGAATGCAAACAATGCAATCAAATGTGGGACTGTGCTGACACCCCACAGCACCCTGCCTGCTGCATGGCTCGGGGCATGTGTTCTATTTCACCAGCACCCTCAGTGCCAGGGGCTGAGCTCACGGGTGTGTTTGTGCTGGCACTGAGCACACCGTGTGCTCTGTGGAAGGCGAAGCAGTTGCGCTCACACTTCTTCTGTTGGCTGTTTTTTAGGGCTCGCCAGGTCCCCCAGGGCCACCGGGCCCACAGGGAGCTCCAGGCCCCAAGGTAAGGCTGACCGCCAGTGCAGGCTGTGCTGTTGACAGAGCTGGATGTTTATTAGTGGCTCTCATGTCATAAGACTGGGCAAACGTCTGCTAAAACAAGGCAGGACTTGGGGCTTGTATAGTGAAGGAAATTATGCTTCCTTAATGCTTCCTCTAGCTGAAAAAGCAAGTTTTCATACAGCAGCCAAGAAGGGCTCTCCTTTCCTTGGTTCTTGGTCCCCTACAGACACACGTGTCCCAGGAAGGAATCCATCTCTGCCCTACACCTGAGGGCTGAAATCCTGGTTGGTCTGGTACTTTACATGGGGCAGGAGAGAGAAGAAAATGGGGGAAAATGCCTGAGTTGGGTTTGGGAGTGTCACAGGTTGCAGTATGAGCTCGCCTCCTGCCCCACACTGACATGCTGGGGCAGTGCCTGCACCCTGCCACTGTGCCCCTGCTGCACTGCCACTGCCCTTGTTCATAACTGATCACCAGTAACTTACTGTCAGCTATAGTTTTCTTTAAAAGAAGGCTTAATTTGTTTACCAGTGTGTGTCAGCACATGGGAAAGTGCAGGATTTTGGTGCTGCCCAATCTCAGCCCAGGTTGTGCTGGGCCGATGAAGCCCATCAGATCTGGGTGTCATCCTCACCGCTGCTCCTCACACTCTGATGCTCAACCTATAGCCACCATAAATGAGTAACTTCTTTCCTTGCAAAATGTCTTCCTAGGATTATTTACTGATTTAATTTACTGTTGGCTCTGCTTTCTTTGTGTTGCTTCAGGGGGAGCTGGGCCTGCCAGGTCCACCTGGACTGGATGGAGAAAAGGTACACAGCATGGTTGGACTGGGTGGAATGGTGCAGGAGAGCGCTCAGGAGCTGAGTTAGAGAGAACTGACCTGTGTGTCTGTGGTGGCTGCCCCTGTGAAAGCCAACATCAGCCTGCCCCTGCAGCCCTACAACGCTGCACCTCCCTGAGTTAAACACTCAGCTCTGAGCACGCAGATGATGCACTTGTCCACATCTGCTGAGTTAAATGGGCTACTTTTACAAGTTGTGAGACAGTCTCAAATTCTGACGTAAACCTTCCAAAACCTAATTGCTGCATTCTTTGCTGTGGCCAAGCAAAATTCTGCTGTGTCTGCAAAATCAGTATGCGTGAGTTTTAACATTAAAACATGTTTTCACGAGTTGGCGCTGCAATGAGGGGGGGCGGAAAAAGAGCAACACAGCAGAAAGGCAGAAACAGGTTGGTTGGGTGTTGATTTGGTTGGTTCTCTTCAACACTCGTATCTGTGTTCTGTAAAATTCTAGGGTCCCAAAGGAGCTAAGGGTGACCAAGGCAGTGCAGGGGTCACAGGACCGAAAGGAGAGACTGGAGAAATGGGCTTATCAGGTCCACCGGTACGTCTGTGTGCTGCAGTGCATTGATTCCTGCAAGTCTTGGAGTGTGGTTGGGTTTTGTTGAGCTGGGCAGTGGGCTGTCCACACTACACTGCTTCAGGTGGAGGAAGTGGGGACTTGGAGTGTTCCTAACTAATAATGCTGATAGTGGTTTGCTTCAGAATAAATGAAATGTGTGCTCCAGCCTGGGGAAAACCTCCTTTTCTCAAATAGCTCCACAGCTATTGCTGGAGCAAGGGAGGATGGCGTGTAGGGGAAGACAAATGCATTTTTCTCTTGTTCTTTCTGGGAGATGAGACACTTCAGTGCAAAATCCGTATCTTTTAGGGAGCAGATGGGCCAAAAGGAGACAAAGGAGACACTGGATCACCGTGTTTGCAGAACAACCACGTAAGGCACTGACACCACGCAGCCTCTTCCATGAGGCAAGGGCAGGGGAAGTTGGTGTGTGCATCAGTGCAGAGCACAGGACGGACCTTCTGCATGAGAACTTTGGGATGCCTCTAAATGGGGTTTGTGTATTAGGGAAGGTGAGGGAAATGATCAGGCACTGTGTAGGCACTTCGGACTTTGCTTTGGTAATTGAGATGTTGAATGCTATTTTGTTTTGCTCTAAAAACATACTGTGCTTTGTGCTGTTTTATAGGGCTCCTGTTTTTTTTCTTTTTTCACGCTTTGTGCTTAGTATCAAAATTCATAAACTTTTTTTTTAGGTGTTTATTAATGACATATGAGCTCTAATTCTGATTTTTTTTTTTTTCTAAACAAAAAGGCTGGTTTCTTTGTGTCCATATGGAAAATGACCTCATTTTCCATTGAATCTATTTTGCAACTAGCAAATGTACTGAGTAGCATGGCCCACGCCTCTCATTTCTGAGGCCAGCCTGATCTGCGTGCTTACTGAGATCCATTTACCTACTAATTCTACGGGCACCTCTTTGGTTAGCAGATACCTGGATTACCTCTATTAAATTAGAGGGCAGGCTACAGCAATCCTGGGCTGTGTGAGGTTTTCCTGAGCTGCCTGCTTTCTCTGTGTCCCCGTTCCCAGCCCCATTAACGTGCCATTTAATTTCTTTCATGCAGATCATCCCAGAGCCAGGACCGCCCGGGTTGCCCGGCCCCATGGTAGGATGATGGGACACTGGCATGTGCAATAGAACAGAGCTGCAGAGTTATACTATGCAATTAGTGAAAGGAAAGAGGGTGTTTTTGTTCTGTTTAATCTGGGCTGCTGTCAATTTGGGTTCCCCACCACTGTGGTGTTGATATTCCCACAAATTTGCCCGGGTCAGTTTTTTTTGCCATTGATTGCAGCAGGAGAGAATGTGGGCAGTGGTGTGAATACACATAGTCATTTTCAGTGCAGGTTTCTGAGGTGTTTGGTATCTACAGTGTTCCAAAAGGCCGAGAAGCTGCCAAGGGAGTCAGGAAAGCTGGTAGACCTTCACTGGTCCACGGGCACCTCGGGGAGACCACGCAGGGTAATGCTTTACAACCACACAGCGTTTCTGCACTGCTGCACAGCTCTCCCTCCAGAGCTGACTCTTCAGCATTTTATTGTTGCGTGTTACGCAACGCAGCCTTTTACAGTTCCTTCCCACTGATTTGACGTAGGAGAACCAAATAAACTACCACCTGTCTTGAAAAAGAAATATTTAGCTATTGTCAGCCCGTAACTTTAGCAAGAAGCGGTTTGGGAGGCAGACGTAGGGGTTTGTTTTTAAATTCTGCTTTTATAATGCACCATTGTCTTTCCTGTAGGGTCCTCCAGGAATCCAGGGGCCTAAAGTAAGTCCATAAATCAAATGTCACCCACTGTTTCCAGGCTTCCACTGCATTATTTGCAGGACCACAAAGGACTGTCAGCTCTGGGGACTGATTTTTTTTTGTCACAGTTTGTGACAACACATCCCTTGATTGTGTTGTTCAGCAGTTGGTGTTTTTGAAAATAAGCCATTCTTCCTTCCAAATACGTTTTATGATCTTAAATTCACTATGGAGTCCTGTCAGCCTGCAGCACATGCAAGTCTGGGTTTCCAAACCCACATACTGAAACCTTTATTTTCAACTCTTTCTTGTATGGTCTGGTCAAGAGGAGAACATGAACAGCAGCAAGGGTTTGAGCTGCTGGGAGGTGTCCTTGCCACAGCTGTGTTTGGAGTTGGTGCTGCGGGTTTTATGCTTGCACTGCTCTGCCTGAGAGCACAATCCTGCTTTTTTGCACCAGCTTCCCAGCTGAGGCTGTTCCCAAGGCCCACGTGCTGCTTGGCTGATGCCAGTGTTTCATTTCTGCAGGGCTTGGATGGTGCAAAGGGAGAAAAAGGTGACAGCGGTGAGAAGGGGGAGCAAGGCGATGCGGGCCCAGCTGTGAGTTGTTTCCCCACGTCTCACTTCAGACTGTTGGCAGAACCCAGCCTTACAGCAACTTTCCTAATGCTTTTTTTTCTTTCTTTTAACTGCCTTCAAGGGTCTCCCTGGAGCTCCAGGGCTCATTGGCTTACCTGGTACCAAAGGAGAAAAGGTAATCATTGATGTAGGCCTGCGTTAGATCTCATTCTCCCACTGGATCTCCATAGAAGCTAGGTTATTGATGGCCAAAGCTTTTTCCTGGTCAAAGTTGCTCATTTTACCAACGTTCGTCTCCAGAACCTCAGCTCCAAAGAGTTGCTGTTTTTTAGCATCTGTCAGCATTTGATGACAGCAGTTGGGTGTAGTGGTTGCTCCCTGAACAACTTGGGAGCACATCGAGCCCAGACAAGCAATGCTGAGCGCACAGACAGGTGTGCAACCCTCACCATCTCCACCAAACTTAGTATGTCACCAAATGGAAATCTTTGCCTGCTGCACTGAAATCAGTCCAATGTGTCTTGTTTTTGTTTTTACAACTGCAGGGAAAGCCAGGAGAGCCGGGATTAGACGTGAGTATGGAGAAAGTTAATAGTGATGTGTCAGAATGTGAATCACACACATGTGAAGGCCATCAAGATTGCTTGCTGTTCTCACAAATACACATAACTAACACTGCATGGACTGTTCTCCCTTCTCAGGGCACCCACAGAACGATGTCAGTAGGAAGAGGCGTAACTCACAGCAGCAGTTGTTTGGCTGCTCCCACTGCACAGCAGTACTGTGCCACACAGCAGCGTGCTACTGCTCAGCTGAAGGTGCTGGGGGGGGCTTTCTCTTCCAGTTGAGAATACTTGCATTAGATTCAGGAAAACCAAAATCTCTTATAGATGAAATATGAGCAGGAGCTTTCCCAATAAATTTATGAGATACAAAGACAAAAAGGAAGAAAATACCATATTCTTTGCTGGTTGCTTTTGTTGATTTGAGATACTGGGATGTGCACAAAGTAAGCTTACACCGCTTTTCTTTTCCCACCAAAAAAAAAATCCATAACAGGGTTTCCCAGGTCTCAGAGGAGAAAAGGGAGAGAAGAGTGAAAGAGGGGAGAAGGTGAGTGGGGTCATGGCTGTAAGGGTGCTGGTGGGGATGAGCAAGCTGGGGCAGAACTGGCTGCTCCTCTTGTGTCCCGCAGCGTGGGTTCCCCTCCAGCTCCAATGTTTTGTGGTTCACAGCTGTAAGCTTCTCCCTCCTTGGCAGCCTGCAAACGTTGGGGGAGCTGGAGCAGCCTAGCAGCTCCAGGTTGGGAAGAATTGCTAGTTTTGGTTTATAGACCTTGAAACTGGGTCCCAGTCAGGTTTTGTTGCAGGAATCCTTAAATAGACGGGTGCCTGGCTGGTGCCATGCTGGAAGCTGGTGCTCCAGCAGCGCTGGCAGGGGCTGCCCAACACTCCTTGCTGCCAGATACCAACCTGGTCTCTAGCAGTGACTGGTGACTTAGCCACCCTATTGCTATTATTTTTTATATTATTATTGCTATAAATTATTGCTATCCTGCTTTAACTGAAGACTTTCAGTCATTTAATTGCCCGATTAAGGTTGCACCAGTGCAAACATCCCTACTCTGGCTGCCATGTGGGATGCTGCAGTAACTGTGCAAAGCAAAAACAAGGTGTGTTTCCCCTGCCAGCCACCCCTCTGTTCCTGATACTATTTTCCTTTTGCAACAACAGGGCGAGCGAGGGATACCAGGGAGAAAAGGAGCCAAAGGGCAGAAGGGGGAACCTGGCCCTCCCGGACTGGACCAACCCTGCCCTGTGGTACGTCTTCTGCTTTGCTCATCTGAAGCGTGTGTTGCAAGGACTGAAACGGGATGCAGCTTTGCAGCCCAGGGAAGGGAGGGAGGATTTGGTAGATCTTTAGTTTGCAGTAAATCAGAGCAGATGGTTATTGTTTTCTCACTTTTCTTAATGGTTTGTTTTATCTGCACTGCTGGAAGTTCAGTGCTTGCTTTATGGGCTCCTCACTGGCCAGATGGGAACAAGCCACAGCAGTAAAAATAAAGAATCTTTGTGTAGTGATCTTCTTATTGCAGTCAGGAACAATGGGCTTCAGTAACGCTCTTCAGGAGATAGCGTGCCCTGGTGAAGCTGCCTGCCTAGATTTTGAGTACATTTGCAATTGGGGAGTAACTGTGCAGCGGCTGAGAGGCAATTTGAAAGCCAGGTCAGCTCTTTATCCCATCATCTCCCCAAACTGAGCAGGGACCATGCTGACTCTAGCTCTCCCGCGTGGGGAAGTAGGTTGGTGTTGATAGCATGTTAATACAGCCAAGGCTGTGTGATGTATGAGCCACAAGGCTGCCAAAAAGTGCCTCTGGGATCAGAGACCTCCCGTGTTTCTCAGGCTGAGATAGCAGCTAGCAGCTCAGATCTGTCCTTTCTCAGACACATCCTGGGCTGCTGTTGTGCTGCATGTACACAAACAGCCTTTCCAGAAAACCTGCCTTGATGTTCAGGTCTGAGGAAGCTGGGATTCTCCAGGATGTTTCAAACCTTTGTACGGCTCAGAAAAAAATTCACCCTGGTTGTTTGGCCTGGTAAAATGTACCTCCTTTTACTTTACTGCTGTTCGTTTGATGACTGAAACCAGAGATAGCCATTCCTTAAAATGCTGCGCGGTTTTAGGATGAAAGAATAATTTGTGTCTACTATTGAGGCTGCCCAAATGTGACTATTACATCATAGTTCAGCTGCACTTAACTAGTAGTGCCAGCTCTGCTTTAACTCTCCAAAAACACATTGCTTGTCCAAATGTGTGGCTTTCTCACCTCGCCAGCACAGCTACAGCCATCAAAGCTGTCGCGGAACTCCACCGTACCAGCAAAAATATCCTTCATTCATTGTGCTTTATTTTGCTTGGAGATTGAACGTGAGCTACAAATACTTTGTTTTTGATGGATCACCTTTCCTTTCTCAACATGCTGGATGATTTAACCCTCATCTTTTTCAAATGAGAATCTCTGCTTTGAGTACAGAAGATATTTCCCAGATGACAGTCTGTGTGTCTGTGAGCTCCCCACCATAAAACAACTCCGTTGATTTGCTGTGTCATCAGAAATGGATGCGCAAAGTTCTGAGCCCATTCTTTCTCCTTTCTGCTCAGGCACTGATGTCTGTTCAAGTAACTCCCATGTCCTTTATCGTTCTCAACAAGCAGTTATTTTTTCTTAAACAGGGAGATCGTAGTATTACAGGCAGCAATGGGGACCCAGGTCTGCCAGGCCTGGATGGGGTGAGCGTGCCCTGCCCGCTGGTACAGTACCTGCTCTTCCCTTTCTTGCATGGTTTGTGTGTGTCCTGCTGTGGCCAAGCCCCTTCCTAAGGCATGAATCCCATCAAGGAGAGAAGGAATGCAAAACAGCAGGAACAAGACGCTTCACTTTGACACTCAGAGAAGGACACCACTGGGTTGTGCCTTTTTCCTAGTGCCTTTAAACAAGGAGGGCAGGCCATGGGAGATCGCACAGGGGGCTGTTTGACTCTTTTCAGCAGTGGATCCTAAAACTCAGTTGTTGTTTCTCTGGGTACACGTGGCCCAGTTCGGTTCACCTTGTGGTACCAGCTGGGTGCTGAGCTGCCCCACTGAACAGCCCTAGATGCTGTGACTGGAGGTCGTGGGCCCTTTGGGCATTAAAAGGGCATTTGCTGCATCAGCTCTGCACTGTGGAGCTCAGGTTGAAATCCTCTGATTAGGCAGAGAGGTTCAAGCTCTGCTCGCTGATCCAGAGGGTTCTGCTTGACTAGCTAAAAGAGGTCATTGTTTTATTTTCATTTTTTTAACCATAGAAAATGCTGCATGTTAGATGATTTGCAGTTGTCTTCAGAGAAACAAAAGGGCAGTAAGCTCTTTTTCAAAAAGTTAAATTGCTTTCATATGTGTCAAAGAAACCAATTATTAGCAGCAGGCCTGCTTCAGCTCTTCAGATTTACTCCCCAGAGATGTTATATTTGCTAAGCATGTCCCATCCTAACTGTACAGAATACACAAAGTCAAGCTATAGAGCAGGCACTGTAGGGGCAGAAGGGGATTTCTCCTACAATTGATTACAGTGACCAGTTAATGCAGCAGATGCGCTTTTTCCTGCCTGTGTGTGACGGGTTAATTGTCATTAGTTGTCATTAGCTGTTGCACGCTGCCTTGGGCGGTTGTCCTCCTCCTCCCCCCATTGTAGTCATGGGGGCTACTGGGTTCTCGGTGATTCTGTTCAGTTCTGGGGTGTGAGCCTCAGCTGAGGCTTGTGAAGCACTTTGTGAGCTGACCAGTTGTTCTGGAGTCATTCAAGTGAAGCGTGGTAGAAACGTGGAGCTTGATGATGGCCAAAATGAATATTTTGAGTGTGCATAAGGGAAAAAAGCCTGGGGAAATCAGCCTTGTGACCATCGGTGAGTTGGGATGTGCTCTGACAGACCAGGTCAGGACGTCTCCAGGTGCCAGAACCACTCTGCATGTTGTCCCTGTTACCCTTCACCCCCTGACCACGCCAATAAATGTCAAGGATCAAAATGCTGGCTTGCTGTCAGCAGAAAACTGTATGTGCTTCCAACTACCGTAATGTTATAGGAAAGTCTGAAAATAACTGGACCTGTCACACTAGGAGTAGCTGGAAAGGGTAACCTTACATCACTGCATCTCTTTTATTGGGCATAGGCTATTTTACATATAAAATCAATACAGAATACAAAAAATGTGATGACTGACATTTACAGTAAAAAATGTAAAAATGCGTTTTGACCTCTATTTGCACTAGCAGTTTCTCCACTGCAAACACGTCTTCGTGGCTTCCAACCCCTACTTAACTTGGAGATGGTTCTGAGGGAAGGGTCGGTGCATGTGTGCTCCCTGTAGCTCTACATGCAGCAATTCATGCAATCAGAGATCCAAGAGCCTTAAAAAATCCAGCATCAGAAAAGGCTGAAATAGCTGAAGTCAGCTATGTCTGCTAACGTAGCTTGAAAAGTTGGTCATAAAAAGTCCATTCCTCTGCTGAGGGCTCCTTCCTTGTCAGTGTTTTCCTCCTGGTAAGTAAGCTCTTCCAGCTTTCTCATTTCTGTATACTTCATGCATCTCCATCAGAAAAAGACAAGTCTTTTCACTCCCTTTACACAGCCCACAACCTATCCGATTTCAGTCAGTTCAGCAATTCGAGATTTCTTAAAGAAACTAAGCACTGCAGGATCAAATTGAACACAGAATATCATGAAAAGATATATTAACCCCAACTCAAGAAGCGCATATGAACAAAAGGTACATTTCCACATCATGCTTTCCACAAATAGGTCTGATCACAAAAACGCTACTTTTTAAAGCAGATTCTGAATTAATCGAAGTTCCAGATTTTTATGTGTTCACTTTTGTTGCAAGGAAGTGTCAACTTTTTTTTATCCTGGAGCGTATTTGATTTTGTGCTGTGCACAGACCACACTGCCTGTGTATGTACTGTTGTGTATGTACTGTTGTGCATATACAGTAAGTTGGTTCTGCATGCTCACTGTCTCTTACCGCACTGCTGACGTTTTTATTGTTTCAGGACTGAGCTTTGGGTTTTTGGTTCTGACACTTAAACTGCCATGAACAGAAATGAAATCTGTATATTCTGTTTTGCAGGGACCAGACGGACTGCCAGTAGCAGGATGTTGGCACAAGGTACAGTGAGAGTAATGCCAATACCTCCTCGCGTGGGCCCTGGGGAGCTGTTAGGTGCTGTGCTCCAGCAGTGGGCTGTGTGCCTGCCCAGCAGCGCTGTGCCTTGTGAGAGCAGTGCCCTGCCTGCCTCCATGCCCTGCTCCCCATAGCACACACTGATTTCTGCACAGCTGCAGGGAACGCCACGCCAAAACCTTGCTGAGGCTGAAAAAGCCACCAATTAACAGCAAGCACGTTACTAACTGGTTGCAAACCCTCAGTTAGGACATAAGCATGCCCTTAGCGTGTGAGGTTTTAATTTGGTGCCAAATCATTTGGACATGCTGTTAATATGATAAGGAATCTGACCATCAATCTTGATATTAACAAGATTAGTAATGAAGCATTTCTCTTTGATTAAAATGTTTGTCTGTGTGTTCTTTTGCAGTGATCTCTAAGCATGAAGCACAGTGTGTAAATAATGTGATATATTTTGATCTTTTTGATTTTTGTATAAAAAAAGGAAGAAAACAGCCCTTCAACAGTAATATATTGACCTTTTTTTATACTGGATTCTGTCATTTATGGACTCTGAATATACTGTAAAGCTCTCAAACCCATAAGATACGCATGATAACATCAAGATGTGATAAAGGTACCAATGACACTTGCTGGGAATGACCAGAACTCACTGCTAATGCTGCTGTGTGAACTAACAGCACTGAGACAGCGCGTTGCCCTGTGTGCCTTACCAGCTCCCTGTCCTAACCTGGCTCTCAACTCTATTTGCATTGCACGTGTGTACTCAAAGAGTGAAAAAAACGGGCAGAAAAAGAAGAAAAAGAGGATGCAGCCCTAAGGATGGAAGAAGCTGCTGTATGCCATCTGGTCAAACAAAAGGACTTCAAACCTGCAGAGGAAACAAGGCCAAGCTCCCTCTGTTGCTGCCTGCTGTCGTTGTGACGGAAATAGCAAATCATTGGAAAAAGTAACCTGGACTGCCTGTGGATGTTTTGGCTACTATCAGATAACCTTTGATCTCAAGAGGAAGCACCTCTGGGTCCTGTTCTGTGGTCTGCAGCTGAAGATGTGCCAGCTCTTTGTGAAAGCAGAACTCAAATTCTTTAAGAAACCTCTACTGCAAAATTTCAAAACAAAAACACAGCAATGCTTTCAGAACAGACAGTTGTGGGGCAGGGAGGGACTCTGCTGAAGTCTTCCATTAAGCAAGAGTGTATACTGTTGCTATTGGGGTTCCAAAACTTGGAGTTCGGAGTATTTGTCTTGGTCTGTAGGATTCACTTGCATTTTATTTCCTTGTGTTTGTGTGGTTTGATTGTGATCTGTGTAGCTCTGCACGCTCCTCTTGTCCTCCTCTGTCAGTGCTTTTTTTTTGGTCTCTTTCTTTAACTTATCTCAGGCACATCCATGCAGAGCAAGGTAATGAATCGAAGGACGATTAGGATTTCTATTACATATTGCATTAATGAGGGAAATTTAAAAAGGAAAGAATTGCAAACATCTTATGAGTAACATTTCTTAAGATCTTGGAAAAGCAGGGATTGTGCAGAAAAAAGCTATGAAAAATTATTTTGCAGGAAACACAATGGCTTACAGCCGAGTCTGTTCAGCTCACAATGAAGATCAAGAGGCAGATTCCTTTACAAGGAGGAGATACTTTATAGCAGTAAGTTCTTGAACTGAACAGAGAAAGATGTTCGAAGATGCATCCAATGGCTGAAGTGGAAGCTATGCAAAATCACATAAAACAAGCCATGGCTTTTTATTGGTGAGCCTGGCTAATCCTAACCAGAGTGGTGATGGAATGAATCCCCGTGGCTTTAACGCCTTTCTGATTTCACAGATGGTTTCGGGAGGAAATACCGTAGCCCAATAGAAGTTGCTAGGCTCTGTGTAGGAGGCTCAAGTGAAATTAAGGGCCTGATTTTTGTGCTGACAAGCCAGTTGATACAAGGAGTCATTTTTGGTGCACTGAGTAGATTTGAACCTGTGAGGAGGTTCCTTTGCATCTCAGGGCAGCTGGTGCTGCAGGACCGCTGGGAGGACATGTGGCTGATGGCTCCAGGGGGAACGTGCCCTGCACAGCTCCATCCTAGTGTAAGTAAAGCTAGCCCTGGTGGTGTGAATAGCAGCAGCAATGTGATCGGTGCTCTGCACAGACAGGGTGAGGTTTCTGATGTTTGGTGACTGTGTCCTAGCTGTTCTTGGGCTTATCCTTTCAGTCAGGTGGGAGCATTTGTCATCTGTTAAACGCTGAATTGGACGTTGGCTTGGTCAGTGTGGACACACAAGATTTACAGACATAGGCAGTAATCTGTTGTCTAGCTTTGTTCACTGCCTAGGGCCTACACCTACACGCTGCTTGCTTTGTGGCTATATTTCACATCTTTACCAATTAGTTACTGACCACATTTTCGGTCACTGTACAAATCAAATCAATTCAGATCAACTAACAAATCAAGAAACAAGAATTATGTAACTCAAACAGCAATGAAAATGCATTTTATTTACTTCCATTTTATGACGTTAGCTATTACTTTTGGTGTGAGGGTTTTTAAAGGCGAAAGGAGCTGCTGAAAGAGCTCCCACTGGCTTTTAATGCTTTTGAAAAACCCCTTTGCTGTCCCAAATTAAAGCTAATTCTTCTGTGGAAGGTCGAAGGCAAATCTCTCATTGATGTCACTGGGAAGATCTGTCATTGTTCCCTTAATGTACAGTTGCTCTTCCCATCTCCCCCAGTCATCTCCAAACTAAAGCAGTTCACTACTCCAAACCACACTGTGGGCTTCTACGCTCGGTATCCTGCAGATGTCCTGTTCATGGAACCTCTATCGATATCAATGAGAGTTCAGTCCCCAGAATGACTGCAGAAAGCACAAGAATCTGGAAGTGTCCACAAACAATCTACAATGCAGATAGAAAAGTCTTGTTTTACATATGCTGGCAAAAACTAAACAGCTTTCTATCTAGCTCCTACTCAAAGAAGTTTGATATCACTGAAGCTACAAGACAAGCTAACCTCCAAAGCTTATGAAATTATATTAAAATTTATATTTTCTCTGAGGAAATACCCCCGAAGTCCTATTATCTTCAGGTAAACAAGTCAGTATTCCGTCTTCAACTTGTGGAATATCCAGTGCTTGTAGGCATCAACTGTGACCACTGCCAGGCCTGCAAAACATTGATACAGAATACCAGAACAGTGCTTTACCTATTGCTCTAACCGCTGTGCATGGCCGCCTTCCCCCTCCCAACACAGAGCCTGGTGCCATAGAACCCACGCCATTTGCTCTCAGCAGAGCAGGAGAGCTATTTTTAAAGCCACTGAACTTCTTCACAGGGGTTTTTCGTCCCCATCCCCTCGTAATGTTCCCGTGCCAGCCCAGGAGGAAGGCTGGAAGCAGCATCCTAGCACGGGGCTGTGGCTGATCCATACCCATCAGTGCTGCCACCTCGGCTGACAGACACCGCAGAGGTAATGTTTGAAAATCCCCAGGTTAAGGCCCTCTGCTGGGTTTGTGCTGCACGCTGAATATGGTGCATCCTGCACGTAAAAAGCAGGTCCACCTATGCACAAGTAGCAAGTCTGGTGTGCTCAGGATGCATCAGATATACTGCGTGTGTCTAGACCAGCAGCCTGTGCAAAGCAGCTTCTCTGGTCTGCTATTGCTTGCATTTCCATGGGAAGTGCTGGCAGGGGCAAGTCCTGCAATATGTGGCACCTATCCTCACCAGCTTTGAGGAACTAACCAGTAGGGGGTTATTTAGTTACAGGTCTGCTGGTCCCAGGCAGTCCCAACCATCACCAAAGCAGCTGAAACCTGCGGCAAGCAGAGCTTCAGGGCACAGGGCATGGCACAGATCTCCAGGCACAAATACTGCCGGGGCTGCAGTTGTAACCTGTATTTCTCATCTTTCCTGGTCCTGCACAGGGACCGCTGTGCTTAGCCTGTGCATTCTGAGCTCAGTGTTTCTCGTCCATCGTGCAGCACAAACTCAAAAACCATATTAGAGTAACTGTTCTTTTGCACTGACTGCACAGTCTAAGAGGAAATGTATTTAGATCCATGTGCTTCCCATGCACACACATTTAGGGGAGGTTGTTAAACGAAGAGTTGTTTCAGGGCGGTCATGATCTTATTGGGAAGAGTTAAAAAAGGATGTGCTTTGCTCAGCAGATTCATGCCAGATCAGTTGATTATTTTCTCATTCCATATGAAAACGTTTACGTAGGTCTTTGTAGAACACGGAATATGCAAACAGCTCACAAAGATGAATTTTACTTTTGGGCAGTGTTAGTGGTCTCAGTCCAAACTCAGGAATGATCTCAGCCACTCACAGAGCACAGTGCATTTCTCCCCCAGGAATTTTCCCTTTTTTCTGGCTTGAGAGAAGGTAAGAAATATTTACAGGAAATCCAAAATGCAGCTAAGTGCTGCCACTAGATGTCAGTAGCAATAAAGATGATTGACGTGATGAAATGTAGGTCAGCGTGACTGAGCAATTGATTTATCTCAATCAGTGCAGTGGCTGGTGTGTGAGCTTTGTGGATTCGTCGGTGAACAAATATTTGGGTTAAAACGCTTAAAGTTCTTTGTCTTGGGGGGAAATTAAGCCAAGCCAAACTCGCGTTTATCCCAGTTTTCTAGTTTACAGAACATTTAGTGGTCCGATGTAACTGACTTTAGAAGTGTGGTGATTCCCATTAGGCCCAGATAATGCTGTCTGCCTGCTCCCAGGAACAGGACAAGCAGCTGTGAGGTCTGTCTGTGCTCCAGGAATGGTGTTGCTGTGAGTGTGGCCAAGTGCCCAGAGCTCAGCTGTGTCTGCGTTTTGGCGCTCAAAAATGCCCCTGTTTGTAGGTCCAGTCTGGTGCCAGGAGTGTGCTGGCAGCTCCAGCAGTGCCCTTGTCATGGTGTGAGCCTGAGCGGAGGGGCAGGGGGGGTTAATTAGAGTTCTGCAGCTGATCTAATTGCAGGCTGGGCCAGTTAGTTCACCAAAAGTATTTCTCTGGGCTGTGAAACAGGTGGTAGATAAAATCCAGTCTGACTCCAAACTGAAACTGTTTCCAAGACCCAATGCACTGGGATTTTAGCTTAAGAAGAAAAAAGAAAAAAAAAAAAAAAAAAAAAAAAAAAGGCCATATACTTGGTTTTACTGTCACGGGGAAGGCTTGGTTGTATACTCTGCTTCTAATTCTTGCTGTATATATAATGGCAATGAGTTTCTTTTCATACAGATTTTTCTCCTGCATATTTTAAAATAGGAATGTTTCTTATAATGATAACAGACTTCCTAATATGTTTTCTTTTTTAGAAAACCTAAAGTACTTAACTGAGTTGGTTTTTTTTAATCTTCTGTCATTTCCTACATTCTGCGTTTGAAATTAACAAGCTAGCAAACTGTACGTGAGGTTTCAGTGGCTCAAAGCAGCTTATGCAATGATAAAATGTATTCCATGGACAAGGACCCGGGATGCTAGGCTGGCGTTTCTCATGTTATAGTTACCCAGTGCCCAGGAAGCATGCTTCTTTATGAGCTTTCATGTAGGACAGCCTGTCTGCTGGCCTGGGGGCCAGAAGGAATGATTTCAGCCAGCTGTAACACCTAACTTAATTACAATGCTAAAATGCCAGAAAAATCTCAGATTTACTGTAGTGGTAAGCAGCCATCCTTGCTCTCAATGTATGCGTCCTGTGAATTCATAAAGGCATGTGGGAGCATGGCTTTCGGGGGCATTGAATGCTGATTTCATGCTGCCCTCTAGAGGCCATCTTTTTTGAGCAGAAACAAATTCGGTGCTATGATGGGAAACCATCCCTACCCCAGAAATGACAGCCCTGCTCCATAACTGGCTGCATACATAGGCACAGACACACCTTTGCCAGCTGAGGTTCGAATCAATCGCTGCAAAGCAGGAGTGCTTAGACAGAAACTTTCATGTTTCCCAATTCTTGTATTTCCTCTTGGGAAACACAGTCGTTTTCTTTTTAATCCAATTGTTGCCTAGATAATTAATTTGAAGCGTTATGCAAATAAAAGGACGTTGCCAGCCAAGTTTCCATTCTAAACTTTTAGACTGAAAGCTCTGAATTACTTTCCTTACAGACAATAGATTTGTATGAATATATGCAAAAATATTAGTAACAATTCCATGATTAAAAATAAAGTGTCCCCAGGCTGCTTTTCTTGAATTAATACTGTATGTAAGTGGCTGAACCAGGATAGGTTTGGGTCCGACCTACGCCAGCACAGCCAGGCACAGATTTGGTCCCACCATCCTCAGGGTGCAGGAAAGGCCCTGTACTGTACTTGGCCTCACTGCAGGCCCTCAGGTTGACTCATCATGTACTTGTTGGTGTGTTTGGTTGTATAGCCAGGCTTAACCAGGTAGACTGTACAGTGAGATGAAGTATTTTGATGAGATTTGAAGAGGCCTAAGATACTTCAGTGAGACAATCAATGTGGCATACACTGAGCTCAGCAATCTTACGGAACAACGTTTAGGCTTGTTCATAACAGCTGGGGGAGAAAAAAAATAACGTACTGAAGCAAACCAGTGAGTATATAGTTTGTACCTGTGAACTTAACATTGCTTCTCATGTTCTCGAGTGAACCACTGCAGCTTTCCCATGCTTTCATTCATCAGATGGCACACCAGAAAGGCCTGACTGTTGCGTAAGCTGCAGCTAAAGCAAGTGCTGAAAACCTGACACTTGGAAATGAATGGGAGACGGCCTTGATAGACCTTAGGACTCTATACTGCTGCAGAGGGCTTGGGGGAAAACTGCAGGGGAGCTGGGAAACATGAGTTTTCAATGCATAAGAAGTGGCATTATTGACAGCAGAGCAGAATAAGAAATACGTTAACATTTGCGGTTTTCCTATGTCTTAGCACAATTAATCCCGGTTCGCTAAGCTGTGGTAGGAGTCCTCAGTTGCTGTTTCATGGAACAGACACAGTGAACTTGTGTGTCTGTGTGTGGCTTCTTATGTAACGTGGCTGTTAATGAAGATTAAAATGGAAATGTCCCAAGTATCTGAAGTACAGTTCTGTGTACCCAGGAACGTGTGGGTTTTTATGTTCTTTTGAATTGTACGTCTAATTTGTAAAAGCACATTTTACATGAGTTTATGAAGGGGGTGCTTTTCAAATCTGCTTCTCTGCTATGAAATAAAAGTAGGACCTGGTTTTGCAGGTACCCACTGAATTTCCAAAATAGGCAGAAGAGATGGTAAATTGACATTAGTTAGAAAAGGAGCTGGAGTCCTGTTGTGTTTGCTGGCAGTTTCATACATGGAATGCCACGGTATAGGCAATTTCATAACAGAGCAACTCCTGCATTGCTATTTAGCGTTCTTCTTTGGTATCTTACTGAAAACAAAATGCTCAATATGACAAATATTCAACCAGTCAGAACTGAAAGCCACCAGCTCTGCCACGTTATGTTGCTTTGGACATACAGATCTTTTAACACTGGTCTGTCCTCTAGCATTTAGGTGCCATTTCTGAAATGATACAAGTAGAGAAACCGTAGCTGCTGGTATGAAAACCTAACTGAAAATCTGATTTATTTATAACGCAATTGAGAGAAATGTATGCAATATGAGTTTTATCTGTACCCATTTGAAATTATGCTGATAAGGCTTAATCCTCTCCCAAGTTATGCAAGCCTTATTTACAGGAATGGCTGCATTGCTTCGGGGCAGCTGTTGGAGCTGCCAGGGCTGTGTGCAGCACATGTGTCCATGCTAAGCACCCTGAGCAGTAGTTTGTGTGGCTGTATTTACGTGGTATCATATGCAAAGCTGAGGAAGCCTCTGTAAAATGTACCACTTTTAAAATATATATATATATATATACATATAAATATTAAAAAAAAAAAAGTGAGTAACATTTCTATTTGCAACAGTTGTAATTTTTAATTGTGTATGCTATGAAGAGTGTTCTATTTACTCACTGCTTTGGGGAACAACTGTTTTAAAAATGAAGGCATTAATTGACAGTATTTCATATCCGTTGTTTTAACATGTTAAAATGGTTATTAATTAGTCCTGCAGTATGTATTTCTAGCTTAAAGCTGCAATGAACAGCACATCAGCTCGAGACCTCCAAAAACATTTCCTTGTGCTTTCTGTAATAAAAGCAAAGACTTGGTGTTTAGAAATGGTCTCTCTGTACAGGTTGCTTTTACAACTGTGTGAATATGTACAATGAACTCTGCATTTGTAACCAAGAATAAGCAAACTGTAAATGTTCCGGTTGTTATTATAAATAGCTGCAAAGTATCTTAACCAGACAAGAGTTCAAATAAAGATTAATGGCCATTATTCATATTTCTTCTACTGTCTTTCAGTTCATTTCAGCAGTTCAAAATTGACTTACACAACATCTGAGTTTTACCACTGAAGCTCAGTTAGTTCTAAATCTACGGCAATTTGGTTTGGGATTCCCTATATTAACACAAAACTTAAACTGTTCCTGTCTTTACCAAGTAACCGCAACTGAAAATAGTTCTGGTCTGCTGGGTATGTAGTCAGATGGTCTGAGTCCTCTCAGTTGTTATGAGTTTAAAACAAATGAATACAAACACATACTTGAAATGAAAAAATAGAAATTTGGTATCTTTTAGAGTGGAGCATGCCGACGGCTCTGCTGGGGATACAGCACCTACAGCAGCGGAGTGCCAGACATGTGTCTGTCCCTTCTGGTTCTTATCTCTGTGTTTTTCTTTAGGGAATTCCATCCCAACATGACCTGGACCATCTCCTCTCACCTGAGGGCAGCGCTTGGCTTTTATCCCACCCGCTGCCTCTGGGGCAGCTGCAGGGGAGCAGACACAGGAGCTCAACCATACAAGAGGTTGGTTTTACTTTTGCTTAAGGAGCGCGGCGTGTTAAACACAGCAGCTCTAACCCCTAAGCTACCCTCACAAATCACTCTGAGCCTCGTGTGCTACTGCAGCACCGAGCGCTGGTAGAACCTCCCAGAGCGAACAGGACCCACGGCGTGAAGTCACCACTCCCGCTCCTAGAGGAGCCCAGCCGAGCAGACGGAGGGCAGGCCGAGGCACGGGTGAGTTACGCCGCTCCCCTCGGTGCTGCCGAGGGCGGGCTCGGGAGCGGGCGGGGCCGGGGCCGCAGCATCGCCTTGCGGCACGGAGCGCAGTGCCGGCCGGCGGCCCGCAGGGGGAGCGGCGGCGGGGCGGGCGGGCGAGATGCCGCCCTAAGCGGGCTCCTCCCGCCTGGGCCGGGCCGCGGATACGGCGGCCATGAGGCGAGCGCAGCGTTCTCGCCAGGAGACGCTGTCCTTACGGCGGCGGATCATCGGGTAAGTGCCGGCAGCGTCCGTACCGAGAGCGGGGCGCAGAGCGGGGCTGCGAGCGCGGCGCTCCGGGGCTGCGAGCGCTCCCTGCTCTGAATTGTAACTTCGGGAGAGAGACGGTGCTGAGAGCGAGCGGAGCCTGGGCTTTACTCGTATAATTAGCGTTTAAGGAAGGTTATGAAACAAGGCATCGAGAGCCCTCAAAACACGGATGGCACGGCGCGGCTGTTGGAGCTCAGAACTGCTTACAAAGCGATCTTTGGCCGCTTGGCTCTGAGTGAGCAAACCACGCGGCTGCCGAGCGGCTCCTGGTGCTGCTGACACAGAACGAGAGCCCACCTGTCCGAGCTGAAAACGTCAGAATTAACACACTAGAACTAAGCACAAGACTCATCGCCAGGCTTTCAATCACTCGCTTTGTTCCAAACGATTTTAAAAATTCTTGGTTCTGGAGAATGCTACCAGGAACGGCAGCAAGAGCATTTCTGTCTGACCGCAGGAATGTTACATATTTGGAAAGGAAGGCTACCTCCATCTGTACAGCCTCGTGCCGACAGAAAGCAGGCTGGGGTCAGTGCTGCAACCAGATCTGTGCTGGCCGCGCTGAGCCGAAGATACCGCCCTGTTGTAACTCATTTGCTCTGATCCTGGAGATCCAGCCCAGCCTCATTACTGCTTTCTTAGCACAGGCTGAACTATCAGCGTGATTTTACTGACAAACCTGTTCTGACATCCTACTGCCAGTGCATACGGACAGTGTAGGATTCCTGTAGGGGACGGACAGTGAACTACTGTCTTATTTTAACCGACTCTTTTAATTAATTGATATTTCTCAGTATACAGTGTTATGTCCCTTCTATTTTTCTAAGCAATGCTTATTAAATGAGGTATTACAGGTTGGCACTGTCCTTCAGTATCAGTGATATCCTGCAGCTCTCCTTTGGCAGATACGTTGCCCAGACTTTTAAATAAATTACTATTTATAAATTACTTTTAAATAAATTACTCAAGGCTTTCGTTAGCGTTAGTGAAGCTCTGTACAGATGTAAGAATCAGCTGCGCTGTGCCTTCAGCAAGAATACCAGGAGTATAATAAAAGTGATTAATGAGAGACAGGCACAAATAGTTTAAAAAACAGGGAGGGCAGCCAGCATAGACACCAAGGAACTGTAGTTTCAGATGAAACTTCAGAACCAAGTCCTGTCTGTGTGCTGTGGTTGGGGATTGCCAGTGAAGGATTTTTTGTTCAGGAATGGGGTTTTGTGCCTGCAAGCCTAACAAAACTTGGCTATCAAGTCAGAGCACAGACTGTTCTTTTCTCCATCCTAAGCTGTGCTTTTAGGGGCCAGGAGGATGATGTCTTTCTCTTTATTAACTACACTGAGAATATTACTAGATGACTGGGGGACTTCACTAAGGCTTATTTTGCTTTCTGATGCTTTACACAGCTCTTCTTGCAGACTGTTTTATCCTAATGATCCGCTGAAGATTGTAAAGGCAAGAGGCCAGTACATGTATGATGAGAACGGAAGACAATACCTTGACTGCATAAACAACGTTGCTCATGGTAAGTTCAAGTTCTATTGTTCAATACCATGTTTTACTAAGTAGAGCAAGGAACAATCAGTACTCTTTACCACTGTTCCATGGTGTGGGGGGAAGTGGTTGTTTAATTGGAGAAGCTGAAGAAACTTTTACTGAGCCTATGGTTTGAGAAACTTCTGCTCACGTTTGGATTGTGCATCAACATGGTGCTTTCCAGACTTGCTTCCTGTTCTACCTTCACAGAAAAGTTCCTATCTAAACTTCACAGAGCTCTGTGCGAGAAAATTCAGGTCAAAGATCTGACTGTAAAACTAACAAAGGACAGTTTGTTGTACTCACAGATGTCACTAAGGGTGCTACTGAAGGACCACAGCCTGGTGTGGTGCAGTATTGGTGTTTTATGAAGTAGCTGTTTCTTACAGTACTCGAAATTGCTGGTCAGGGCTGACAGTCATACCATATATTACTGTCAATAGGTAATGATAATATATATTGACAATATATAATTATTTGATGGTAAAACTTATCTGTAAATATAGCTATTCAAATGTCTAAATTCAAAGTATACAATTAGATGCTGTTTGTTTCAGTATATCGACTTGCAGTATTTAAACCACCAGCCTTGAAATACAACAACCAATTTAAACCTTTCTGAACAATGGAAGTTTTCCACAAGAGCTTTCAAAGCATACCAGTGTTGTCCTATGCTGATAACACCATTAATGCCTAACTGATCAAAACAAACAACGCTGACAGTAGCTCTGTACTGCTAGGAGAAACATAAGCACAAAGCCATTATGTGCCTGCTAAAAGACACTGTGCATAACAGAGAATTCTCAAACCTCTCCCCTCTCTCTCAGTTGGACATTGTCACCCCGATGTAGTAAAAGCAGCCCACGAGCAAAACCAATTGCTAAATACAAATTCTCGTTATCTTCATGACAACTTGACTGATTATGCAGAGAGACTTTCAGAAAAGCTGCCTGAGAAGTTGTGCACCTTTTATTTCTTGAATTCTGGGTAAGTCAGCTATATCAGAATCGCTACTGTTTTTGCCCTGGTTGTGTACAGACAAGTACAGCAGGCAGCTGCATGCTCTGGAGTGATGACTATATTAAAAAAAAAATGAAAGGAATTGAAAATGTTTGATTATGAAGAAACTGTGATCATTTAGAATATCAGCAGATCTCAAGTTTGTACTCAACCAAGCTCTCTGTCAGAAAACTGAGCTAGTGCTTTATTTGTACAGCTTTTTATTCTAAGGCCTTGGACTACATAAACATAAAGGTTTACTGTATTTGTTTCTGGTCTGACATGTTTTCAAAATTCAGTGTTACAATGCACATTTCTACTTATGGAAGGCTCCTGTATTCCCAAGCAACCTATGCATTAAAAGAAAAAGGAAACTGCTTCCACGTAATGTCTGCAATCCAGCTTTTTAAGGATGGATTCTAATCTGCTACGCAGTTCTACCTAATGAGTACAGAGCATTGCTGATTACTCAGGGCTCTGACAATACCTTGCATCTAGTTCTGTGTTCTCTGCAGGTTTCAAACCTTGGGTATCTGCAATTAAACACCAGTTTTTTCAATTACAGATCTGAGGCTAATGATCTTGCCCTAAGACTGGCACGACAGTTTACAAAGCATGAGGACGTTATAGTTCTAGACCAGTAAGTATGTTGGCAATTTTATCTACTGTAGGTTACAAGGCTCAGTTTATATCTGTGGTCCGAGCACTTGTTACTGCAGGAAGAATGTAGCTAAGAAGTTGAGAGAATTTTCCTCTGCTCAGTATTTGTGAAACCACTCCTAACGTACTGACTGCATTCAGCTGGGGCTCTCCAGCACAGGACAGGCTTTGCCATGCTGAAACAAAGCCAGCACTTTGCTGTCATTTACAGGAGGGGAAACTCTAGATTTGAGGTTTCAAAAACTTGAGTTTGTTTATTCTTAGAAGGCACACACACACACACACACACACACACAAACCCCACAAAGCCAGGTCTGAAGCTGCACAGTGACAGGAAAAAGGGACAGCAGACAGACAGAGAAACCTGAAGAATTCTGATGAGACAGGAAAATGCTCTTTTGCCATAAAGGTGGGTAAATATTAGAGCAGGATGTCCAGAGAAACTGAAAATTCCATTGTTGGAGGATATTCAGAAGCAGGCCAGAAACATCGACTCCTGCAGTCTTTTAATGCTATCTGTGACTTACACTGTTGTAATTCTACTTGCTGGCTCTGGAAAACCAGTGCTAAGGATTGCTGTCTGCCTACATCCCTTAGAAATCCTACAGCTGTTCTCACTAGTAAGTGTATTCCTACCAGGTGATGTAACTCATCTACTCTTTAGATGTCAGTACTGTTAAGCCTAAAGAACTTGTGATAATGAGGAAATTACTATTTAGCTCTGCTGATTGTTTTTTAAGTGCTTACCATGGACATCTGACATCCCTGATTGACATAAGCCCATATAAATTCAGAAATCTAGAAGGACAGAAGGAATGGGTCCACGTGGTATGTACTTCAGCCTGTAACGACTGATTAAATTAAATGAAGACTTATTTATGATTTACCGAACACAGAATGCTGTTCCTTTGCATAGGCTCCTGTTCCAGACACATACAGGGGACTATACAGAGAGGACCATGAAGATCCAGCAACAGCCTATGCTAATGAAGTAGAAAATATTATTAAGCAAGCACATAAGAAAGACAGAAAGGTAAGAAGTGATTTCTTTGACCTTTTGTCTTGCATAAGAGATCAGTACAGGTGCTTGTCAACGCTGACTGTTCACACAACTTCCACACATGTCTCTGTTGTGTTCAGTCATTACGCAGTCCATATGTTTCAGATTGCTGCGTTTTTTGCTGAATCTCTGCCAAGCGTCGGTGGTCAAATCATCCCACCAGAAGGCTACTTCCAGAAGGTTGCAGAGTAAGTAGTCAGGCATTCATTATCTTCACTTGCAAAACATAAAATCTGTCCTACGTACAGATGACAGGAGAATTTCTGTCTCCTGTGGCATATAGCTTTAGATGCATAGGAAAGATGAACGCTTTTACATTAGATAATCCTAGTGGGGCCATGGCCTCTTTTTAAACATTGGTATAGAAGTTTTCCTTCACAAAGTTTGTTTTCAACAAGTTTGCAAATTATTCTGTATGTTGCAAAACAGAAGATACGTTTACTCCCTTCCTAACATATAATCACTGTTATGTTACAGGCACGTGCACAAGGCAGGAGGTGTATTTGTTGCTGACGAAATTCAGGTCGGCTTTGGCAGGGTTGGCAAGCACTTTTGGGCATTCCAACTTCAGGGAGAAGAGTTTGTACCTGACATAGTCACTATGGGGAAACCCATAGGTAATGGGCACCCTATTGCCTGCGTAGCAACAACAAAAGAAATCGCAGAAGCATTTGCAGCCACAGGAGTCGAGTATTTCAACACAGTAAGTAAGAACTGACCACAGTCTGTGTTTTGAGTTTTGTTTTTTTTTAAAAAAACAGCAGTCAGTACTAACATGAGAACCATGGCGTTGGTTTTTAATTAATCTTCATCCCCCGCACACTTACTGCTTATATTAATTGCATCTTTCTGGTACCTGACTTTCTAATTGCTGACTATCAGACATAAATCTTAAGTGTGCTCATGTCATCACTGAGGCTGTGCTTTCATTGACAAGACTGCACGTTTCTTTCCTGAACTCAGTTTGGAGGAAACCCTGTTTCATGTGCCATTGGATTAGCTGTTCTGGATGTGATAGAGAAGGAACAGCTTCAGGTTCATGCCACAGAAGTTGGCAACTTCTTGATGAAGCTACTCGTGGAGCAAAAAATCAAGCACCCCATCATTGGTGATGTCAGGTATCAATGCCTTATTTACATTTTTAGCTGCTTTTTGTTTGGTTTGTTTAGTTTAACATCACCAACTTTAAGAAAACTGTATTTCTATGAAACTGTTCAGAGCTGTGGCATTAGCAAAAAGAAAAACAAAAACCAGCAGTCTACTGTCCATTGGATTAAACCATACTTGAGCTAATCAAAAGTCTGATAAACTTTGCCACTCTAGGCCAGTATAACACTTCTGATCTATCAGTTGTCAAGACAAAAGTTTAAACAAAAGTAGTTTAGTGCACAAAGAACACAATTTGTTACAGAATACTCAGAATGACAGCACAGGACAAGCCCATACCATACTACCCTATTTCTGCAAGATTGCTATACATTTTTTTTTTTTATTTTTTTATTTTTTTAAACAGTAGCCAACAACCATCCCCAATTCTCAGACCTTATTGAGACCAAACCTTAACTGTATCTCTCACTCCTTTAGTTCACTTGCACTTCCTTCTTGTGACACAGACTGACTATTTACATTTCTTTCCAAGAGGTTCTGGCCTATTCATTGGAGTGGACTTAATTAAAGACCAAGCAAAAAGGACCCCAGCCACAGAAGAAGCAGAGTATTTAATAACAAGGTTTGTGTGACAATCACGTGGCTTTTCAGTGTGCTAGACAAACATACAGTTTCAAAGCAGCCTGCCATTCATTAGCTGCTGAAGTACAGCAAATTAGCACCAGGCAGCACTGAAAAGCATTGTCTGGACAGTCACCATTAGGATGTTTTTGAAGTTTTCTGAACTATGTGCAGAAGGTGAAAATAATTCTGTCACCACTCTTCCCAGGCTTAAAGAAGAATATATTCTACTGAGTACAGATGGGCCAGGAAGAAATGTACTTAAATTCAAGCCCCCAATGTGTTTCGCTATGGAGGATGCAAAATTTGTAGTGGACACCATTGACAAGCTTTTAACAGGTAACAGAGGTGAAAAAAAATGCCTTATAGCAGTCACTGTTGGACTGAGCAGCTGAACCTGCTTAACAAAGCCAAAATGACAGACACTAAACACATAGGAAAGCCAATCACTGAGAGTTTAGCCTTCACTTCCAAACAATCCACGTTCTCTAGCAGAACTTTTTACTCCAAGGATGCATGTATGCCTTTTTTTGCTCTGGCAGAGGGTAGTGTTCACTTACAGCAACTGTCAAAGCTAACCAAATTTCATTGGTGAGAGGCATCTTCTAGGTGCATTTGATGCTTTTTATACAACTCCTGCACATTCAGTGTTAAACAGATTAGTCTAAAACTTTGTGTCAACTCCAAGTCTGTTAAATTGTTGCTTGGTGTCCTTCCAGATATGGAAAAAGAACATCTGAACCAGGAGAAAACATCCATTGGCTCAACCTAAGCAGGTATTTATCTATATTCACTCTATATATTACTGTTTAGAAGTTGATGTTTCTAAACATGCTTCACAGGCACTGACCCTGGCAGTAGAGCAGGACTAAGTTTTCTCAGTTGCTTTTACTTGAAATTAGTTCAGAGCTCTTTGGCAGTCTCGAAGCACGCACTACACTTGGCTGCATCTGGAATTCACTGCTATTCCTTCTATTGGTCTGATACTTCTAGTGTAACACTGTTATGAATTCATTTGTTTTCAAGCTAGGTTGAACATATCTCAGAAATGCCTCATGCTGTCACAGCTCTGTGCCAGCTGCTCTTTAGCCTCCAGGCAGAAGCAGCTGTAGCTTCATACGGTGCCTGGTTACAGTCAGATGGATCAGACCTCTCACTAAGTCTTCCTCTAACTGCCCCTAAGAACACGTGCTCCAAAACTGTACATTTGCATGCCACTATTTGGGAACCTCCATTTAATCTCATAGGGATAGTACTGTTTATAGCCCTTCATAAAACTACTGCAGCCCCTGCTTTATTTGAATCACGCAGAATCATTTCAAGCTCGTGGCTGTTGCTTCATGAATTAAGCATCAGCTTACCCCTCTGCCTACCAGGTTTGGGGCTCTAGTAAGACAAATACCTGTTAAGTCTTCCTAACTCTGAGATCTGTTGAGGTCTTTCTGTAGCTTGCAGAACACATCAAGCTACTTTAACACCTTGATAACAACATTTTGAGACACCTGGTACTTCCTTAAACCAACTCCCTACCAGAAGACAACTGAATGTGTCTTTAACCAAGTACCAGTAAAGTTTATGATATGGGGCTATGAATGTAATCACTTGGCCTCAAGCACCATGCTGGAGTCACAGTGCTGTGGCCCTAAGCTAAGGAAATGCAAGTTTCTGGTTCAGAGCAGTATAGCAGGCACAAGAAAAGTGTGTTAATATTTTATTTAGCAAGTTAATAAAAAAGACATACAACTGTTAGTACTATGGATTCTTGAGAACAGAGGGATGACTCACAGAATCAGTTTAACTCAGACACCTAATAACTTAATATGCTTATCTGCAAATCTAAAATAAGCAAAAAAATGCTCCTCTACAGAAAAGCAAGAATGCAAAAAAGCCTCTCACTAAGTACAGTACAACACTTACATTGCATGTAAGTGAAAACGAGGCCATGAAATAGATTTTGCTTTATGATACTTTGTAAGAAAAACATAACATTATTTTCTTTCCATAGGTTTCAAACATGTTTCAAGACCAACTAAGAAAAATTACTCTACTGTGATAATGTACATTTAATCCTCATGTTAGTATGTCTTAGACCAGATAAGACCTTTGATTTTGTTATTTTCAGTTATCTTATTATTAAGTGAAAGCTTTAGGAGAAATAAATATTCAACTGTGGCAGATGTGGGATTGGCTTTTATTTAACAGAGTATCTAAAACTGGTTTTAAAGCAACATCTTTCTAGTAGCTACTATAGACTATGTTTTCCAAACTCCTGCTCTTTCAGGTCATGCCTGTTTAAAAATTAAGATTAAGAGGAGCCAACTGGCTTTTTTTTTTTTTTTTGTTATCTGCTGCTACCAGTGGTAACTCCATTCCTGGAAATGCTTTTCTCAGGCTCCTCTGATCAGTTTCAGGAAGCAGTTTCAAGCTGACGAGTTCCTAGTTAGCACTTTAATCAACAAGCTCCCAATGAGCAGATGAAGTAAAGAGCTTCATCTCATGAGGAACAGACAGCTCAAAGTCACAGCTCCCACAGCTGTTGTTAGGAAATAGTGTCCTCAGGAAATATCCGAGTACAGTTAGTAAATGAACAGTATGTCACAGCCATTTCAGAAACAACTCTGTGTACAAGCCCTTGCTTTCACCTGACAGTAAGATTTTCTTTGCATCACACACCTTTCATGCAAGAAAGGGAAAGCAAGCTCTTCATATAAGTGCTAGTAACCCATTTCTGCCTGAGGCCACACCACCTGTAAAGAATCATAGAATCATTAAGGTTGGAAAAGACCTCTAAGATCATCTAGTCCAACCTCTGAAATGAAGCATTACTTGAGGATCTACTTCCAAAGGGAACCACTAACAGGTTGATAAGATACTGCTAACAAACTAGACAGAAATACAGCAGCAGTATGGTTCTGGCATAACACTGTCCAAATCCCCCTTCAGTGGGCAAGCCACCTGCTAGAAAGGTATTCTAACCCTTAATTCAAAAGAAAAACAAGTAAAAAGATGCAACAGAATAGAGCACTTCACTTGCCAATCTTCAAGAGTAATCCTTCCAAATATTACTTGTTTCAACTGTTTATAGTTTTATATTTTTCAAGTTGGGCACTCTGTTACACACATCAATTATAAAGCTCACCTGCCCACTACCCAACTAAAAGATCTGCTTCACTCTTTTTTACATTCAAGAGCGCAGCTTAAAAGTCTGTAAGACTTGTCTGAGGTTAACTTTATGGTTTTTAATTTCAAGGACAGCCAGCAGGGAGCAGCACGTTGTCATTCCTGTAGGAATTGCTGCTTCCCTCATGGAAAAAAAGAAGTAAAAATCACTATTAACATGGTTTTCTCCTTTCGTAGTTACTTGATTTGGTTCCACTGCTGGTTTGTTGGATCCAATTGTGTGTTAAAAGAAAAATATCAACTTTTGAAGTAAAAAAAAAAAAAAAAAAAACAGATTAACAAAGATTAGAAATTTACTTTGTGCAGCAGTACTTGCTACTTGGAATATTTTTAAGTTCAAGACAGGGACTACTCTGCAACCAGACAAGCAAATCACATAGTAGTTATTTCTTAAAAACTGTGGTAAGCTAATCAATAGAAAGGAAAGAGTATCTCTAGAAAAATAGTTGTATTATTAGATGCACCTTCCTTGTTTTTCCTCCCACAGCTTCAGGTGGAAGTTCTTTACTATGTTTTTGATACACAGTAAGACTGCAAAAAGTGAAGCTTTGCATTCCTAATTTGATGCCTGTCTAACCTGTCTTTCAAGACATATGTACATACTGTTAAGAACTTTAGAAACCTCTGACTCAAGAGGCTGAAACATGAAGGAAGAGCAGCTAGCTTCTTGCATACCTCTTAAGCCTCCTCCTGCAAGGCTGTCTTGCCTGCCAAACCCTACCTGAAACCTAAGCCTTTGGCTCCACCCACAAGAGCCATTACTGCACTTAGTACAACTACCTCTGTACCTGTCTAGAACTTGAGCCACCAGCGCAGCCCCAAAAGCTGGGATCTCCGCCCAGGCTCTCTTCCATAGCCTCTAGGCACAAGTGACTGCAGTTTTCAGCTCTCACTTAACTGCTGAAGTCAACACAACGACCTTCCAACACAGCCCTCTAGTTTCCAGATTAAAAGCAGCAAGCCCAACTCTTCATCTAGCAAGGTACTGCCATGAGCTAAGTTCTGGGAAAAACATACTGCCGTTTTACTAAGATAGAGCTGAAGAATGGCACGAGACACTAGATTACGCCTTTTTTATTTCAAAAGCTAGGATAGCTTCAATATCCATGTCATGGTGAATCAGAACACATGTAAAATACCTTACAATACATTAGATTCCAAAAAGGTACCAAAAAGTACAGTAAAATTAACACTTCCATTACAGGAAATGTATGACACAAAAACAATACAAAATAAAAAGGTGGAAAGTGACACTGGTTCCCTAAAGATGCATCTCTTTCTGTACAACTGGAGTAATGCAGAGTCCATAGTTAACTCCAAGAGGCAGTCCCTAGATGCAGAGCTGCAGCTTTAAGCAGACCCTCAAAATCAGTTTCAGTTTAACCTATTAATAAAATCATTAATTAATATCTTCAGCAAGGCTGAAATTTACACACCACACTGTCTAAACAACTAGTTATCTCTAAGTATTAAACATGTAAAACATTTCCAAGGAGCTCTTCCAAGTAAGATGCACATTTAACAGGCCATAGAAATTTATTGTAAAGTTAAATTTGGTACAGAACTGAAATACCATCTACAGCATTGTATACAAAACCTATGCAGTCATTTTCCAAAAGAGACCATGCCACTGCATACCTGAATAAGTTTGATCAATATGGCTTGTAGTTATTCTGATGGCCACCACGCCTTGGTGTCTTCCCGTAATTTGCACTGCCTTGACCTATGAACAAGAGAACAAATGCATTAAACTGCTAATTAGTTACGCTTGCTTATACCCAATACAGTTCTTTACTTACTGTAATCATAGCCTGGTCCATATCCATAATACCCATATCCTGAATAATCATAGCCTCCATAGCCACCATAACCTTGCTGATAGCCGTATCCTTGATTCCCATAACCCTGGTTCCAGTAATTGCCATAACCTTGATTCCAATTTTGACTTTGAGCTATAGAAGGGAAAACCATCCACAAAATCCCATTTTAGTACACACAGCTTAGTTTGAATGTGTCCATACTAAAGTAGTGTGTGCAATACTTACCACCACCTCTTCCACCTCTGCCTCTTCCTCCATAGCTACCTCTTCCTCCACCACTACTGAACTGTTGCTGCTGGTATACTTCTTTTGGCTGTGCTACCTTTATCTCGCACTGAAATGAAAGAACAAAGAGGAATGTGCTTACTTGTCTTAAAACAGCACTGCTCAAACCTAGCCACCTAGGAAAGCCAGAGGTTATTCTAGAGGCAAAGGTGTTCATGCTGTGCTCCCTGTCACGCAGCCAGTATTACTGCACATCCAGAAGCATCTGATTTATCATGCTGCTCAGGCCAAGGTAAGTCAGTCACTACCTGCCATTCAAGCCAGCTACTGCTATCAGAGTACTTTATGCCACCCCTTCCCCACCATCAGTTTCCTCACAGGAAAGTGGGGAGGTCACCTCAGCATAGCCACTACTGCCTGTAGGGTGGCTACAAGGCTGTCCCCCAATCTGCACAAACTCTAGGACTAAGCTTCTGAACTGCTTTACCTGAGCTGCACTGACTGAAGAGCTACCAACAAGGCTGAAAAATAAGCCATATGAGTTTTCCTGGCAGCCTTCATGCAGCCTGTACTATGAGTATGTTGGAATGTGAAGTACACTTAACCAACAGTTGAAAACATAACTTCTCCAATACTACAAATAATTAAAAACAACTGGAATTAAAAGTTCCAGAACTGGCCCCCAAGCTCTATTTCAAGTTATCAGCCAGCTTCTACTTCCTAGATCTGTGCATGGTTGGAGATGAAGCACTGAGAGGAACACCACCCTGCGATGGTACCTCAGGAAACTTTGCTTAGAATTCTTCACACTGGATCCTGCTTTAAGGTAAGGTGCTGGTTTTATTATCTTATGATAAAAACAAGCCACAGATGCGAGACTTAATGATATGATTTCTCAGTTCTTCTCATACCCAATCCTTTGCCTCTTTCTGAACTTTATGGCTAACTACAGAGTCTGGCAAACCATATGAACAGGTAATGGCCAAAGCTTTACTCTGTGTTGCGTCCAGTAATCTTGTCTTAATCTACATGCAACGCAAGTTACTACGTGGGGCTGTATGAAAAGTTCTGATAGGACTCTGAAGTTAGTGTATGGATGGTTAGCACGGAGCACAAAGCCAAAGAGGAACACCTTCCAGACATCATTTGCCTCCAGTCCTCATAAGCTTGACACCTTAACCTGTATTAGCTACTCCCACAGATAAGCAGCATCAGACAACCAGAGCATCTCACAGTGGTTCTCACAGACAGCTGATGAGGTTCAAGGGGCCCTTCAGCATAAGGCACCAGTAAGCCTTGAATTTATGCAATTACTCTATGATGAAAAATAGAACATGAATCTATTCAGATGGCTTATATCACCATACTGATATATAAACAAGCCAGTTTTTCCATACATATGTAATTATATTAATTAAATCCTTTACTTATTAGTGCCCAGAGCACTTAATAAATATTAAAGCCACAAATACTGGCAAAGAACCTTAGCAGCTTCTGTGGCTGAACACAGCAGAAAATACAGCAAATTGCACGCTATCCTTATTGAATTTTGAGTACTCTGGAATCATAGCTTTACAAAATCTTTTTCAGAGTAAAGACAGTGGTATTCTGCTTAACAGCCTGGTCAAAGATTCACAAATCTAAGTTTCTACCTTGCTTCCACTGACGTTATGGAATTTCTTCTCCAAAACTTTCTTCACTGGATCTTCTTCCTTGAAAGTGATGAACACAAACCCCCTCCTTTTGTTGGTCTTTGGATCCATTGGAAGTTCAATTGCTTCAATCTAAAGACATGAAATACTGTCTTAGGCTCAAATTTTAGCAGAACAATAAAGTGCATAGCATTTGGTATAGTAAAACTGTAAGTTTACCTATATATATTAAGCAACACTGAAGTTGCAGTGTTCTCCCCATAGGAAGCTTAGCTTTCAAACCAGAAGTTTCAACTAACTTTACGAGTCTTAAAAAGAATTTTAACATAAAATAGAATGGTTTGAGTTCAAATGAGCTATCTAACTAGCAACATAAGCATTTAGTGCAATGCCTGCCTTGCTTCAAGATAAGAAGCCTCTGGATCAGTTACAAAAGGCTTGACACATCTGAAATTACTAATAATTGCAAGCTATAGTAATCTAAACAGCAACTGTTAAGTATACTGCATTTCAGTGTTCAGTTAGATAGCATTACACACCTCTCCAAACTCGCCAAAGTATTCCCTGATTTTCTCTTCTGTGGCTTCGGGGTTAAGTCCACCAACAAATATTTTCTTCACTGGATCCTTTTTCATTGCCATGGCCTTCTTGGGGTCAATTAGTCGTCCATCTAGCCTGTGTTCTTTCTGTTCCAGAACCTAAAAGGCAATTTAGTTAGATTAACTTAAGCTAGAAAATTTCCCTCTAATTTAAGAATCTGAGAAATTGAGGACAAAGCTTAAACTCACCTTTTCAACACTCCCAGGTTCTTTGAAGAGTATAAATCCAAAGCCTCTGGATCTCCCTGTGTTGGGGTCCATCTTTATCGTACAGTCAGTTACCTCACCGAACTTGGTGAAGTAGTCTTTCAAGTCTTTTTTGCTTGTATCCCAACTGAGGCCACCAACAAACATTTTCCTGAAATTCCAAAGAGAACAGCTGTTTAGATTCAGGAAGTGCTACCGAAAAGCACATGCAGGAAGATGTTCACAGCAGCACAAGCCTCAGCAGCATTGTCAGAACAGGTCCAACTGTTGAAGGTTAAACACTTTTGCATCTTGTCAAAAACTAACACTACAGGGGCACACGAGGGTTTGTTTGATTTTTTTCTTTTTCCCCTCCCTCTTGAGGGAATTACAGTACACTGAAATTCATGAGATCCTGTGAGAAAAGCAGGAAAAATTGCTTCAAATGCTTCTCACCAGTAACTTCTGTTCTTCCGCTGTCATTTTGTTACTTACAATGAAGCAGTATTGATTATCAATTACTGCCTTTTCCTTTTTGAAAGGAACTGAGGTCACACATACTGCTGTGAAAGCACTCGGGCTAGAAAAGGGCACCAAAATCAAAACACTTAAGATCTGTCTTAATTTGGAGAAATGAATGTAAAAATATTAGCCTTACCACTTAAGAGATATTTAAGAGACATCTGTGACAGCTAAGAACAGTCTCCTACAGACAGGACTTTGGACCTGCCTTAACAAATACACTGTGCACTTCTTCCTGCTCGCTTCCTGAATCTAGTTCCATCTTCATCAGTGTGACAATATTAAGCCAGTCTTTGCTTTCATGGGAGGCCACGATACAGTTCTTCCCTACCCACACTCCCACACAGATTACCTCTAAAGTATCACAAAGAACTATAAACTACTCAAGTGCAATACAGAATTGAAACTAAACAAAACTAAGATCAGTCAACAAGGCACTTTTCAAATGCCTCACTTAAATAATACCATTAATAGCACAACTGTTTTCTATTTTCAGAGTTTCCAAGGTAACAAACCGAGCTTTTAAAAGCATGTGAGCCTTTTTACCTAACTGCAGACTAAAGCAGTTTAAGTTGTCACTACTCTGTTCTGAGGTAACCATGATCTGGCAATAGAAGCTAGCAGCAATTTATAAACTAGCCTACATCTAAGTAAAATTGGCTGTTGGTGTTAATGTATAACTTTAACCTGCCAAAACCAGCATCCATTTAGGATCAAATAGCAACTTGAGAAAAAGATCTGTAAAAGTGATTGATCTGTTTGCTTGACTTTTTTCATTTTACTAGAAAAAACCATATCCTTCACAGGCTAAATCAGTAATTTTTCAGATCCAGCTGCACTCCCAACTAAGTAGTGCAGTTTAGTCTTTAAGGCCTAAGTCACATCCGTGCTTCGTACAGCCCTTAAAATAGAGGCCTGAAAGAGAAGGCCTTCCAGAGTTTAATAAACGTTTCAATAAAGATAAAAGGTAACTTGATGGCTCCATTCTCATTGAAATCGCTTACTGACCAAGCAACCATGCCAAACGTAAACAGACTGACAGTTGTTTTCAGTAGCATGCCCTGGTTTTACCAGATGTTCCTACAGAACAGATCCAAGAGAAATTCAAAGGGGGGATGACAGGAATTCATCTGCAGGCAGCTCAGGCATGCCCTAAGGATGGGACTGCACACAGGTATTGCCAGTGCTAAAATAATCGCTTACCATGGGAGCAGATATCACACTGATTTACAGCCTTCTGGTTTTTAAAGTGGTATGCTCAACATCTACATATATTTCTACACCACAGCACAGAGCTTCTGAAATTAAGATCAATTCTTTGTATTTCACTTCCCCTTCAGCAGCCACACAAACTGGACATTGCACTGCTAATGCAATCTTTTTCTCCCCCTCCCCAGAATACCAACACAAATCAAAGCAATTTTCAGCTGCTAACTGTATTTACTGCCTATGTCCTGAACTCTATCTTGGGCAAGTCTTGTGTACAGGCTGAAAATTTTCACTCAATACAATCCCTATGAATAATTATGCTTTTTTATTATTACTCTTGGTTTCTTTCTCTTTAGAGACTTCAGTTTACAGGTTTGGGTTTGAAATTTGTCATATCCTGTGTGACAAACGGGACAACATCATCCACTTTTCAGGGAATGCTGCACACTAAGGATGTAAAAAGAAAATTCACACAGCTTACACAGGTGTAGGCCTCAATCCTTTAATGCTGTGAAAAAAGGCACATCCGGCCCTAGGCTACAGGAAGCTCGTATAACTCTTACTCCTTCCCTTATAAACAGAAATCTATCGCACTGCTGCAGCTTCAGCTCTGTTCAGCCTCAGGCAAACGACCCTCCGACTCGGGGCCCAGTGACAACAAAGGAAGTTCCAATTAAATATGTGAGCAGCCAGGCTCACAAAGAGTCTGCAGAAACAGGCAGGTAGTTCTCATGCCAAGTATGCATATTCAAAAAGTAAGAAAAGAATCGACTGCGATCGTAAATAAGTTAGTCTCTTCATGTATGAATGTTCCTACTAAAACGCAACAGAACTCCCGAGTCCTCCAGAAAACACTCTTAATAACCAGTTCACTCTTAATAACCAGTTTTCTGACAATGCTGCGAAGACGTAAACCGAAATCACTCTTACTTTTTAATAACACCGCACATCACTTCGCTCGTGCTGCATTTCCCTTCCTTCCTCCCAAAATACTTAAGACTGCCACCGTCAGGTTCCAACCCCCGATATGTCGCACGCCCTACACAAAGCACGCTCGCGTTCTGCCGACGGGCGGGATTTCTCCGCGAAGCCCCTTAAGTTCGCAGCCAGCACCGCGGGCAGCGAGCTGCTCCTTCCCTCCTCCCCTCTGCTTTAAAGCGGCCGAGGCGGGAGGCGCGCCGAGGGAAATCCCTACCATTTTACAGCGCGAGCCGGCGAGGGCCCGCGGCCGCCCCTCCCCCAGCCACCACATGGCGCCAACAAAAGGCAGCTCCAGAACAAAGGGAGCGCTG